ATTGTAACATTGCCAGCGATTGGCTGAAAAAAGTGTAGGGAAAACCGTATGATTCAATTTATACATGAGGTGATTGGATGAAAATGGGGTATTTTTAAGTATAAAAACTAATTTAGAAAGTAACACTACATTGTTTCTGAAGATAATCAAATATTTCATGAGTCTCTCTATATATGATAGTTTTGACTTAGATATTTGCATTTATAAAAAGTGTGTGTCAGTCCTGTCCTCAGCAGAAAATTCAATGAAATAGGGGGTCATTTTGCAAAAAAATTGGTTGGCTACCCCTATATAACAGGAACATTTTTATGTGTCAGGCATTTCATTCTGCTAGGGAAATCACCTCTTTAGCATGAAAACTTAATTTTAAGGTAGGATTAGGGACCATTTCTTATAATATAAGTCTATGGAAATATCAATGTGAGTGCCTGACCTATTAATATACTAAGACTTAAATTCTAATATGATTCGTGATATTTCTTCTGTACCTTTGTGCGACAAAATTAACAACTACAGGCTAAATAGGAAATTCCTATACGTAACAAGACTCAAAATCGGTGGCCGATAAACACCGCTCAGATCAATAAACAAACATTGCTGACGCCAGCATTTTACGTTACCTTCATGTGTGTATGGAAGTTAGAAAACTTTAAGATGGTTATGCTAATCTGGATGTCCTGTATCTGTGTATACATATTTAGAAATAAGAAAATTCTACAAGTCTTAAATTGTTTAAATCACATTTCAAACATTTAATATTACGAAAAAATTAATTGTAGACAATATACATATACTACACTATAATGTTATGTCTGTCTTCTTTGTTGGTTAAGATGTACTGAATGTTGTAATCTTTATGATTGTTTGTAATATGTCTATTTTTATGTTTATTGAAGGTCTTGTTGAAAAAACAACAACGAAAAACAACATTTTACAGTATAAATGTTATCTTTAATTAATAAGCTACCTTCGTTGTATTATTATTTTTATTATTATTATTATTAATATTATTATTAATATTATTATTATTATTATTTTTATTATTATTATTATTGTGATTATTATCATTATTATTATTATTATTATTATTATTATTATTATTATTATGATTATTATACAAAAGATCAATTTAGCAATATCCTGACATGCTTATAATAAACTTTTGACGTTTCCCGTAATTTCATTGGCGAATTGATTTTCACTTAAACCACGCCCTTATATAGTATGTACTATATACCACTAACTAAGCAGATTGCATTTCGCGCACAAATATGAAATTTTACATATAGATCATTCGCTAAAGATTTACATTTGTATATAGAACGTAGAAGATAATACTACAAATATGTTTCGCATCAATTGAATTTTGCTTTTGAGACGAAAAATATCAAAATCACAATATACTGACAAGGGATGCATAATCGGTGATATGATAAAAGAAATACGGTGATAAAGGACCTACTTTCATTGGATTATTTATTGTTTTATATTTGTTTTCTTCAGATAACTACATCATAGAGACGATTTTTGTCACAGAATTTTGCTTTTTACTTGACCGATATGCAGGCATACAGGGCAAAACTATTGTGTGCGATTGTTATCTTTGTAAGCGTTCGTCGCCAAGAAGCAGACGACATCAATCCGCTTGTTAAACTATGGGATCTACACGCAGAACACTGCCACACTGAATCTCTCTGCTCATTTAGACTCCAGACTCGACATTCACCATCTCAAAATACAACGTGTTGTCGCGAGTGCACGTGTGAAGCGGAATGCACGGAATTAGGCACGTGCTGTCCAGACTACCACCTACTCAATAAAATAGGCAGGTACGTTTCTTACAATGTTTCAGAATTTTCCGAGCGTTTAAAAAATATAGACCTGACACAAGACACAAATGAACATGTAAAGTGTATAGAAACTAACGGACAAAATTACATCAAAACAGACTGGAAGTCCACAGCATACAAAATGATCGCAAGATGTCCTCTACAATTCCGTGATGTGGAAATACATAGAAAATGTGCGGAGCCTAGTAATATCAGCACTTTTGAACCTGATCTTTTCATTCCAGTAACATCTAAGAAAACTTTGAGAACATACAGAAATTATTACTGTTTCCGTTGTTATGAGGAAGTGCATTTTGCAAAAGATTTCATAGAATGGCATGCGATAATGTATTGTCGGCATTCACATCAAGTTAACCTAATTGCTGTATCTCCGCACGACTTTGTGAAAACATTTATACACACAGAAGCAAAAACTAAAGACTGCCGCATGGAAATTGTTCCAGAAGAAACAGGATATCAACTATCTGACAAATGTGACGTAGTGGACTTCAAAACGTGTCCTACAGATTCGGACAAATCTTTACAAGAAATTTGTAAATCTTTTCTCCTCCCTGTAAAGCATTTTTCAAGTGTAACAATGTTTCAAACTTACAAAAATATCGCATGTTACCTTTGTCGCTCGGACAAACCGTTCGTCTCTGATTGTAATATTAACATTCCGCAACCATTAGAGTATGGATTACAGATGTACTTTAGAGAGAATCGGGACTTAACTGTTAAGCTTTTTGAAGAAGCTGAAGGAGAAACCGTGCTGAGTGTGACTGGTTTAACAGACAGAGATGACACTTGTGGTCCTAGCTACATTCAAATCATTTCAAGCCATGGCGAGGTTAGTTTTTATATCTAACCCTATAAAATTATGTATTATAAAATTCTTATTTCTTGTTTCTCTCTACTTCCAGTCTACTGCTGCTGACCAGCCTAATAATGTGCCAATAAAACACCCTCTTTCTTTTTCAGCCTAAATGTGCCCGTGTGTTATGTCCGTTGAACTACTACCCTCACCAAGGTTCCTGCTTTCCCGCATTCTCTGTCATATACGGTGCCTACTATACAGCAATGTTAGATGTCAGACGACCACAGATATATGATCAGCAAACTCTAGATACTATTAGAAACAATTACATGAAAAGAATTTTTGAAACTGCTGCGACATTATTTGTAAAATTATCATGGGGAATTTGGGAAATAGATAACACCTACGATATCCTTGCAGTGTCCTTTAATGTGGTACTTGGTTCAAATAATTACAATGACATAATGGGCATTTTCGGGCAGTTTTTGAATGCTATTTGCACAGTCGACATTGTCACGGAATCGGAGGCTTTTAGAATATCGATTTCTCAGACGAGAAATCCAAAGTTTTCTTCTCTAAATGGAATGTATTCTTTAAAGCCAATGCCAGAGTCAATCCATGGATACACGGAGCTAGATTCATCTTTGATGATGATACAACTATTTAATACCCACTTGTGCTACAGGGTTACTGTACCAATATCCGAGAAAAAATACTATATCGAAAACAGGCTACACGAAGAGTCCATACAGTATACAGAATCTGGCGATATGAAAGTGTGTATTGATGACGTCAACAATAACATCACTGACAGAAAATCGGTTTATAAGTTTGCTCATACCTGTGTCCAAACTACTGATGATTTTATGAAAGAGTACAAAATCAACAACAGGAACAATGACCAGCAAACATGGGATAAATCGGATGGTGCCACCGTTTCCGGTTCCGGTTATAATTTATTTGATAGCAGTATGAGTTTAGCTGTAGTAGTGGTTGCTGTAGCACCAATATTTATCTGATGGAAGACATTGATTGAGGAAGAAATGGATGATTCTGAGTCTCCATAGAATGACTTGGTAAACTTTCGAGTTGCAGTTAGATGAACCAAACTATTTTTTGTTGTCCATTTTGTATGTATCACTTACATGGCGAAATGTGTATACTGTATGTACCCTTTGCTGTTTAACCATTCCGACATTGAATTTGACGCTACAAACTAGAATGTTTTAAATAAGGGATGAAGCAAGAGTCAGTTATTATCAACAGTAAATGTGCACATTTTGCGTTTGTTAGTACTTTTCATTGTTTATTTTTGCATGTAACTTGATTTTGTTGGTGTTGTTGTGTGTATGCAGGTGTAATTACTGTTGTTTGGATGCTGGTTAGCAGTGTGCAGCTTACAGGGGTTTAATTTAATTTTGTTGGCCATTATGTTGATTATTATCGTCCTCGTGTTTGACGTTACAATTGGTTAGTGTCTGCTTTTAGTTTTCATGTAAACAACGGTTATCTAGCTGTTTGCTGATTTCATATTTTATGTTGGCTCTTACTAGTGTGTTATTATTTTGTCTTCGTGGTCAAAGTCAAGGTCCATTGCATTAAATTAGTATGTTTGAAGTTATTTTTAGCATTGACCAAATTTGTAGGAAAGGCAGCAACGTTATCCATCTCGCTGATAATTCTGATGACTTCACCAATTTATCTTTGAACGGTGAGTTAAACTCCATATGAACCTGTGAAATGTTTTCAATTACAAATATAATGAAAATTATAATATTTCTTAAAATAACATGAAGTTCATGAATCATATCATCAAAAGAATGTCCTCTCCTCTTTGATGAAATGACTATACGTTAAAATCAAGTCTTCCAAGTTGTTTTTAAAGCACACCAACTGAGAGAGACATAAACAAAGTACATGTATTTCTAATTTAACAATTCTACATTTTCAAAGGCGTTCCTAAAGCATTTATTTGTTACTTTTCAGCTTATTATTTAATGTAAAATCAGTTAACTTTGTAGGAAAATATAGAGACAATAGAGATTGTAATTACTACTCGTATATCATATGAGCCGCGTCACGACAAAACCAGCATAATGGGTTTGCGACCAGCATGGATCCAGACCAGCCTGCGCATCTGCGCAGTCTGATCAAACCCTATACAAACCCTATAACAAGTAGAGAAACTGATAGCGAACAGCATAGATCCTGATCAGACTGCACGGATGCGCAGGCTGGTCTGGATCCATGCTGGTCGCAAACCCACTATGTTGGTTTTGTCGTGACGCGGCTCATATATATTTTGCATCAAAGATGGGGGTTGGCCGTGCGGGGTAAGAGAAAAAACGTAAACAAACTGTCTAATGCATTTTTTAGTAAATGTTGCAAAATAATACAAAAATAGCAAACCAACTGCATCTTCATTGATACATGTTTCAGTAGGCGTGAACAATACCAATATAATAACAATGTATAATGTGATGATCATTTCCTTTCGCAATATAACACACATATATGTAAAATATTGAGCTTACGCCCACTTTATCTATAATTTAAAGAGCTATGTCTTGACTAAACATTTGATATGTCTGACATTGAATATCGTGACAAAAAATTACTCATTTAAAAAAAAACAAAAACAAAAAAAAAAACTCAGCAAAATAATCTGACCTCATACATGTAATAACAATTGCGTTTCGTCCTCTTAGATGCATAAGCCTGGAGGCAGCACGTCAACGGCCGGTGGTTGTCCTTTAATGTTTAAGCTAGACATAATTGGTGATTTTATTTTCATTTAAATGTTGTTCTTTCACAACAACACGTTTAATTTGGCAAGTGCTGTTTATTGTCTATCTAATTTTATCACACACCCGTGCTGCTTTTGCAACTCCGTAAAAAAAAACGGCAATGCACGGCCGTGCATATATTTTACGTGACATCATTTGCGCTTAAAGATGCGCTAAATGTTAGCGATATTGTATGCGCGTCAATGAAAAAGTCATTCTTTGTCACTGTAAACAGTTCTTATTCTGGGTATGTGATAAATAGAACATTATATTTGTGTAGATTCAATACTGAATTTATTGAACTTGACAGAGGCTCTCATAATATGTTTTTATCCAACCCGCTCAATAAATTTAGTTTTGAACCCGAATTTATTCAATATCATCTACATGTATGTCATTACTAAGGTCAGATAAATGAAGGAATCAAGTACATATTGAGCAGAACATGCATTTTTGTCTACACAAAAAAACATTTAAACTAACTAAGGTTTATCTCCACATAGACTTTTTGCTCATTGTTGATATAAATAGCGCGTTTGGCTGTGGCTCTAAGCTGTTATATGTACTTTAACACAAACATTATTCAAATATAGAAGTACAAGTTACAGTTTTGTATTAAGTTTTGGATTATTAGGATCATGACGCCTATTGGCGATTTCAACGACGCCATACAGCAACATGCCGACGCACAAAAAGCCAATGCAAATGTATATTTTGACATCGGTGCACAGAAAGTTTTGACAAGCAAATGCAATGATAAATCCGAGAGATTCCCAAAGCCGGTAATTTGCAAACGCCGCCTCAGAGTCCTTCGTCCACAACATCCCGTACAGTGCTGAAAAGGTAGAGTGAAAAACGCTTGTATTTGAATATTTTTGAGTCTTAAAGGCACAATTAGTCTCAGAAAATATATTTTTGCTCTTTTTTCATCGTCGGAAACCACTTTTTCTTTCTATTTTTATTCAGAAATGTTTTTGGAAATTTTGTTTTTCAATATTATTTTTGACCGAAATTTTTTTTTGGAAAGAAGTTTAAAAAAGACAACATTATACCGTTTATCTGCGTTTGTATAACTGCATCTCCCATGCCCCATAATGCAGCAAAAATATAGAACAGATAGACCTTCTCGTTGTCCGGTGTCCAAAGAAGAAACGTTATCTGAAGTCCACCGTGAAGCAAAAACGCTGAAACAATTCAACAAATGATTTAAATCATGCATGTTGTATCCAAAAAAGTAAATAAAGTTTTCAAAAATTATTTATTTTAAGAAATGAAACTTCACCACGCTTAATATTTAAACTGGGTTTGGACTTGTCCGTCTTTCATATCTGGACAAAACCAGTCATCATTTAGAAGGGAAAAAAGTGAATTTTGTGATCGGACTGAATAGCAAACAGTGCAGGCCATGCTCATACGATAATAATTTGTCGGCTGATCGGTCTGTGCTGGACACATGGGTGAAATCTGTTGCCGCCAGAAGGTTTAGAGTAAATACCATAAGTTGCTCCCATTAAATGTGACTATGCATGACAATCGCAACTTTTCGGCCCTTTCCGCAAGTGATTATAGATAATAGCCGAGAATGTTCCGATTATATACATCGAGTAAGTCTGGTTACCGTAAGGGGAAAGAACTCCAGACTTATGCACGAGTATGCATTTTGCAATTACAATTTAGAATAAGGACTTTTAAAAAATGTACGTTTTCATAGATATTTGTTACCGCTCTTTGTTTATATTTCAAAATGAAATAAAATACGAACAAAAGTAAGAATTGAGTGCAGCATCGTTATTACAAGTCCTTTAAAACTGAACTAAATATTCAATAATCTCGAAAAGAAAAAAGAAATATGTTTAATAATGTTTTTATCACCTAATATGAAGAATGGTGTATGCCCAACAAATTGCACTAGTCTTCCAAATGAGAAAGAACAAAGGGCATCAACAACACCGTAACATATCATCACAAAGCCTATGTCCTCTATACCTAATGCACAGGCTACAAAAGACTACAAAAAACATACAAATTAACAGGGTAATAGTTCAAACATTATATTTTTTTCTTTATACATAAATTCACAAATGAGTTTGAACAAAGCATATGTATAAAATTTGTATTTCACTTTTGAAATTGTACAACTCGATCATTTATTTGTTTAATGACCAATATGCAATGATATTTTTACATTTTTAATTCAATCCTTATCATATTTTATTTTAAGTAACTTGTTTTAAGGAGACGTTAATAGAGATATAAGTAGTTGACATACTTTTGTATAGTCCCCGGTGACAAACGCTTGCTCGATGCCGCTGTACATGGTAAGAATCACGAGAAGCTTCTGGTAGTTTGACCTCCATAGATGTTTGGCCGTCCCCAATACTAGTTTGAACGAGAACTGTCGTTGTCTTCCGTCTTCCCTGTCTAGAGTGATCGGGTCCAAGCCTACAGCTATCACAATGACGGCAAGAACAGCACAACCGATGTAAATACCACATACTTTATACACCTGGAGAAAAATAAAGCATAATTAACATTTAAAAGATTAATATGTTCAGCAATGCTTTGATCAACTGGATTAAGTTATAAATAATTATGGTTTAAATTGGCTCCTTTTTCATATACTGTATATGCCCGGCCAAAAAAGACAAATGTTAACAGAAATATTACTATACCAAAACACTTTCTGCAAGAATTTAATGGAAAATGTGCTTTCAAACAAAGTTACTTTATGTGTGTCTAGCAGTTTGTGTATTTTGGTACACGGATTAAACTTGGTTGCTCTCAAGCTTTTAATTGTATACACTAGTCAATTGTTTCCTCAGCCCTCATTCCTGCCACCATCCATGAGGCATAGCCTTAGATAGCCTTAGAAATACGTATGTCGATTTTTTACCAATCGGCTGTCGCCGCGCGGAGTTTTTGTTTTGGCGCCAAAATAGCCATAAATATTCCCTAATCTCCGCTAGTACATATGGTGTTTGTGGAGATACAATTGACTGATGCTTTAAAGACTGATCTTAGAAATACCTTCTCGATAGGTGGTTTGTCAAGGTTAGTGTTGTTCTCGTCCGACGATGGACAAAAGTTAGCTCCACATTGTTTAAGGTCTTCCGAAGTGATGTTTCCTTTATCGGCCTCATGGAACACTAGTGACGATATTAAGTTGCCCCATATCTGACCTGGATAGCAATGATAAACAATTATAACAATTTATTTACTAAGATAAAAAAAAGTTTGGTTTGTGTAGCCAATAGAATGATAAGATATTCTTAGGATAAACCGGAATTAAGATTGCATTTGTCTTGGACAATAAACAAGGGGACATACATGTATATAAGAACAATCAGGCGATTTGGCATCAGACGACTTGGCAACTCCTTGTTATGTTTTTTTTTTTACAAATCTCCAGTCCTTATAGAGATACTTGGTGTCGGAATAGAAACCTTTTCATAACAACCGCAAAAAAAGAATAAAATAAATAAAATGAAATAAATAAATAAAATAAAATAATAAGAAAAAAATCCACATATCGATAACTAAAAAGCGAGGTTCGTGACCCCTATTCTATTAGCCTAAAATGTTACTGTTTTAATATCATGCACAAGTTAAATAAATTTTATGAAACGGGGTTTCATTTTAGAACAAAAACTGTAGCAAACGTTTTTAAGCGGACGAGTTTACTTTGCCGTTGAAACAATACTTCACAAAGAGTAAATGAAACCAAAGAAATTTATTAAAATTGACTTGACCAAATTCTTTCAAACCTCTTTCATTCCAAAAACGTTAAATTAGAATTAAGAATTATAGCGAGTCTTTATCGGTTTTTGTACATTCATTTATCTAAAAAATATTTACGATGTTAAAACAAGTTTTTTTTTTTATCTCCTTTTGCCGTATCGAAAAGTTCTAGATCTCTTATCGCTACACCACCGTGAAGAGGAATTTACGACTTGTGTTGACTTGTGTACTAAAGTACGTGTCAAACAAAAAGTTTATACATGTACATGTACTTCTATTTTAATATTATACAATTATACTTATTCGCTTTGATGAAAAGAACGCAGTAAATACGATAAAAGGAACACAATTAATAGGAAAGTAGTTATAATACGTTAAAATGAACACAATTAATAATACGTAAGGAATGCAGTCAATACGTTAAAAGGTACGCAGGTAATACGTTAAAAGGAACGCAGTCAATACTTTGAATGGAACACAGTTAATACTTTTTATCACACACCCGTGCCGATTTTGCGACTCCGTAAATATGGTATTACACGGCCGTGCATATATTTTGACGTGACGTCATTAGCGTTATTCAAACAGTGTAAAGACGCGCTAAAATGCTAGCGTTATACTATAGAAGCGTCAATGAAAAATGACTCTTATTTTACCTTAAACGGTCTTTATTTTGGGTATGTGATAAATAGAATATTAAATTCGTGTAACTTCATTACTGAATTTATTGCACTCGTTGAATAAAATAATATTTTGCTCGCCAGAGGCTAGCATAAAATAATTTTATTCAACTCGTGCAATAAATTCAGTATTGAACTTATACTCATTTAATATCCTCTATGAATGGAACGCGGTCAAAACGTTAAAAGGAGCACAGTTAGCAGTGTTCCAATCCTGTAAAAACTGAAAACGAACATAATGTAGTCTAACTGCAAATCACTCGAAACAATGAATTTCACAATAAGAATTATAAAAGAACCTAAATCTGCTAAAGTTCTTTAATGGACTTGCCCAGCTTCCATTTTGAGACTGTCTATTATATATACCAGGGATATCAAGGTGAAATTTAAATGTCATGCAGCGACAGTAAAGATTCTGGTCAGACTGTACGGAAAAGCAGACGACTAACAGTGTCTAATGGCGGCAAAGGCTTATCACTTCCGCTTTCAGCACGTTATTACAATTAATCACTAGCTCAAATGACCTTATTTCCATTATGATATTTTATTTTGTAAGTTAAGTCATTGTTTAAAATCTTAAATATGTAAAATTATTTCCTCTTCTACATATTGAACCTACTTGTGTCTCTTCAATACAAAATACATGTTATCAAAATTAGGTGTATGAGTTACTCGACTTTATATGTGTACATAATTATGCAAAATAAAACAATTTTCAAACATCGAACAATATGTAAAATATGTACTGCAAATTTATGTGCATATTATATGTAATCAGTATAATATGTGCATTCATTTCTTATTGTAAAATTTGACTTAAACTTTACAGAAAATATTTTATTACCTCCCTTTATTCACATGAAATGTTAAATTCGGTAATATCTTTATAACTAATGCTTTTTTGAACCTAAAATATTGATAACTCTAAATTTGAACATCATATTTATGATTTAAAACCATAAAAAATGTGTTACAGGATCTTTAACTGTTGAGATTCTATCTTATTTAAAATCAGTGTCTATATTGGGCGTTAAATGTCAAAATAAGATTCTTACCAGACTGGAAAAGCATAAAGAAAACACCGAAGAATCTATTGATGATGTCGTCAACAGTTGCACCAGTCTGTTGAGCGTACCACGTGGCGGTTTCCGTGAGGTACGTGCACTTAGCCGACCAAAGTGGCGCGGCGCCGAAACCAAGAATTATGGCTGATGGCACGATAGTGCCCCATATGGCATAAAAATTTGCTCCCATATAAAGAATATAGCAAAGCATGGAACCAAACACTGTCCACTTGCAACCAAGTCTGCCGATGATAAACGGTGGCGTGAACATGCAACTTACAACAAGGGCTCCGTAGATGACAGAAAGCCCTCCTACACCCAGACCATCGTCTTTGTTCAAACTACTCTGGAGGTTAGCCAGTGAGTTAAAAGATGTGAAAAGACACAAAAATCCGAAACTGACTACCAATAGGTTCTTTATAATTCGCGCTTTTGACATTTTGACTTCTGCAGGTTGTTTTATAGTGGGGGTCAAGGTCACCCCGGAACTGCCAAACTGAGCTTGAGCTTCCTTCTCCTTTTCGCTGATTACATTTGAAAACTCCATGGTTACACACCGATCTTCAACCTAGAAAAAATATAGAAAATTTCATCACAATCACAAAAGTTTTTGCAAACTGTTTGGTACCAGGCCAGTTGACGAGAACAAAAGCGTCTTGACAGTTACCAAATCCTTTGACAGTTACACCACTTTATTGCGTTTTTTTCCCCGAAAAAATTGGTTAAAGTTCAAAAACGAAAGCAGACGACATTTCAGCGGACGCCATTTTCTCAATATGCAAAGGGTAAATGAATATGTAAGTAATATTTTGTTGTCTTATCTGAATGTATTTGAATCACCGATAACTTATCTACTAGCATGTAACAACAAAAATAATTTATCTAATGATATCGACCTTACCGGCTGATTTAAAGTAAATCATGCTTGGTGAATTTATAGCTACAAGATCTTGTGATTTATAGTGAATAATGCAACGTGACCTTATGATTTATAGTTACAAGATCTCGTGATTTACAGTAAAAAATGCTACGTGACCTTATGATTTGTAGCAACAAATCTCGTGATTTAAATTAAATCATGTTACGTGACATTATGGTTTATAGCTACAATATCTCGTGATTAATAGTAAATCATGCTACGTAACCTTATGATTGTTTACTGCAAGATCTTGTGATTTATAGTAAATCTTATGATATATAGCTACAAATTCTCGTGATTTATAGTAAATCATGCTACGTAACCTAATCATTTATAGCAACAAGATCTCGTGATTTATATCAAATCATACAAATTGACCTTAAAATTTACAGCTACAGGATCTCGTGATTTACAGAATATCATGCTACGTGATCTTATGATTTACAGCTAAAGGATCTCGTGATTTATATTACAGGCAGTATATCATGCTACGTGACCTTATGATTTACACCTACAAGATCTCGTGATTTATAGTAAATCATACGAATTGATCTTAAAATTTACAGCTATAGGATCTCGTGATTTATAGTAAATCATGCTACGTGACTTCAAGATTTACAACTACAAGATGACGTGTTTTATAGTTAATTATGCTACGTGACTTCATGATTAACAGCTACAAGATTTCGTGTTTTATAGTAAATCATATTACGTGACCTTATTATTTACAGCTACAAAATATGGTGATTTATAGTAAATCATACAAATTGACCTTAAAATTTACAGCTACAGGATCTCGTGATTTAAAGTATATCAAGCTAAGAGACTTTATGATTAACAGCTACAAGATTTCGTGCTTTATAGTAAATCATATTACGTGATCTTATTATTTACAGCTACAAAATATGGTGATTTACAGTAAATCATACGAATTGACCTTAAAATTAACAGCTACAGGATCTCGTGATTTATAGTTTATCATGCTACGTGACCTTATGGTTTAAAGCTACAAGATATCGCGATTTATAGTTAATCATGCTACGTAGCCTTATGATTTAGAACTACAGATCTCGCGATTTATTTTAAAGCTACAGGATTTCGTGATTTATAGTATGTTATGCTACGTGGCCTTATGATTTACAGCTACAGGATCTCGTGATTTATAGTAAATCATACAAATTGACCTTAAAATTTGCAGCTACAAGATCTCGTGATTGATAGTATATGCTACGTGCATTTATGATTTATAGCTAGAAAATCTCGCGATTTATATTTAATCATGTTACGTGGCCTTATGATTTAGAACTACAAGATATCGTGATTTATTTTACAGCTATAGGTCTCGTGATTTATAGTATATTATGCTACGTGACCTTATGTTTTATAGGTACAATATATCGTGATTTACAGTTAATAATGCTGCGTGGCCTTAGGTTTTACAGCTACAAGATCTCGTGATTTATAGTTAATCATGCTACGTGACCTTATGATTTACAGCTACAAAATCTCGCGATTTATAGAAAACCATGCTTTAAGTGAAGATGTGTCTTATAGTGAACCATGCTTCATTAATATGCATGATCTTGTGATATAAAGTAAAATGATGTGATTTATAGTAAATCATGTTATATTATCTTTTGGTGTAAAGAATACCATGCTGATTAGTTTGTGATTTATAGTAAACCATACTTAAAGGGAGTCCACTGAGGTTTTTTGACATGACGGGACTGGACATATTTTTTTGAGATTATTACTCTACTTGGTGTAGATCTATACTAATAACTTATGTGCAAAAGTTCAGATCATTAGCTCGTTCCGTTTTTCCAAAATAATAATTATAATAGTGAAAAATGACTCAAAATTGAAAAGCGTTTAAACGCTTTCACTCGAATCGGACAGAGAATAGCACAAACATAGTTACGATTTTCAATGTATTTACTGTATTTTTCTTAGTTTTATTTTATTTATATTTCTGTTTTAATAGCTCGTAATGATCTATGTGAAAAATTAAAATTTAATGTTTTTAGGCTTATTAACCTCAGTGGAGTTCCTTTAATTTTTATGCCAGTATTCATGGTCTTCACTGTTCACTGTTCACAGTGCGTATTTTGAAATTTTCACTTAAATAGTGTATGGTTTTATCCAGATTGAAAGACGGACACGTACATGTGTGATATTAATAAAGCTAATCATAGTTTTGTTATGTTTTATCTTAAAGGCCAAATATGTCTCAGAAATGGTTTTATTTTTATTTATCAAATGCCTTTTGCCTTTGGTGTTCTGTCGATTGTTTTTCAATATGTAACTCATTGGCCAATCACCTGAGCCATCTTTTTCTGGCAATAGTACAATTATAATAATTTAGTGATTAGTATAGATATCGGAATACTACTTTGTTCACAATTGGCTACTTTATCATATCTTATTTCACATTCAGTGCTACTTTCTTGTGGTGATAAGCATTCAACACGCCCTTAAACTATTATACTAACGTTATAAAACGTGTATTTACCATTTCTACGGCAAGAAATGTATTCTTTTCTCAGGGGTAATGTGCCTTTAATCATAATAAAGTTGATATTTACCTACGGTCTTATCAGCTTTATTAAAACGAGGAAGTGAAGTTTGAGGTTCTTTCGTACAGATATTTCGTCAGCACATTGTTTTGAATAATCTCTGCACATATTTATTATCTACACACTCGTAAATATTGATCAGTTCGATTTAATTGATCATTCTACATGATTTACTACACTTTTACTGCCCACATTGTTCAATTTAGAGACATTCGAATCGTACTTTGATGTGGCAAATATAAACACTTGAACAAGGCGGCTGATAAAACAAACAAAATTGATTCTTCTTTCTCGGAAAACAGTGTTTGAACTAAATATGTCTGATGTCGTTTGAAATTATCTAGTTTTTAAATTTATAATAAGGTATTGTAAATATTTACTTGTGCTAAATATATAGACATTTTTCGATTTATTTGATTCTTTCTTTGGTTTCCTTAAAAAATGAACGATTCGTTAAATCGTACAAATATAATATTTCAATCAATTCGAGTACAGCAATACAACGCAATATCAAATATTCAAACAGCTCGGTAACGCCGTAGTAATTTGTTGCTCTATATGATCCTGCCTAGACGAAAACGTGATAACTTTTTATCAACATCTTTGACATCTAATAATAACATGAGCAATATACGGTGATATGCACCATTTATACGATAAAGTACGTATACAGTTCACGGAAAACTGTATTCATGATGGCACAGTCACCGTATACAGCTCACGTGCAAGTTGTATAAACACCGTTAGCTGTATACGGTGCACCGCAACGCTAAATGTTTTAGCTGATAAAGTTTGTATACTTTAAGTCTTTAACTGTTAGCACGCTGAATTTCCCATATGGACTTGTCAAGCTTCCATTTCAAGAACTGAACATTATCAAGTTTGAGAGTATCTAGATGAAGTTTTTAAATAGTTCACCCAACAGTATATAGCCTGGACAGACTGCACGGGCATGCAAGCTGGCCTGGCTCTGTTCTGGTGGCAAAGTCTAGTCGCTTTCGGCTCGGTAATCTAACCACAATATATACCGCGTTAATTAACTCACCGTGGTATATTTCAACTATCGTTGCAGGTCAAGGGTTTATACTTTATAGTAACTGAGCCATAAAATGAAATTTGCTAATGTTATGTAGATTTTAATGTAGATAAATTTGCCATTTGTATTTGATCTACTAGTACATCAAGAAATATCAAAAGGATTTCAACATAATTGTAATTGTCAGGAAAATCATTATTTTATTATAGAGTCGTAAATGTTTCTGCAAACGTTTTTCCTTTAAATTTCAATGCGAGTTTACTAGATATAAAGTTTAAGAAACAATCATGTAAATGTACCAATGAAGAAAAATAGTCACATGGTACATTTTTGTATATATGATATCTGAAACGTAACTTATATATACTCGATATCATTAGATAGAAAAAAAAATTAATTTGCACATCATGTAGTCCTGACATATGGTTTCATATTATTGCATGGTCAATGGAATATTTTTTATAATAACAGACAAAATAGTATCACCTGTGAAGTAGTCACTCTTATGAATGAAACGTATTAAAATAATAGATACATACAATTATATGGTGTCATACTTTTGTATTACAAGATGTTATGTGTTTGATGACAAAACAACAACAACAACAATTAAAAAATATCATGAAAAGGGCGAACTCATTACCGTAAGAAATAAGTCCCAAAAAATGATCGTTTATGCCAACTGTTCAACTCGCAGTATCCAGAAAAAAGTTTTGTGGGAAGGGAAAAGTACTTAAATATATTCATATAGATAGGTATATAAAGCAATGATCCTTATATATTTAAAGCTCATCAAACAATGCATGTATGTGTAATAAATTTACCTGCTTTATTTGTTTGTAAATTGGATTAGCCTGATTTTGAATTTGGAACGGTCCATTTGAAGTTTTAGGGATTTCAATATAAAAAATACAGAAAGAGTTTTGGCTGCCAACAATATGGAGCCTAGTCAGGGTGCGCGGAGCTGCAGGCTGTGCTGGCTAACGGTGGTTAAAGCTAATAACATTCGGTTCCAGCAGGGGTAAGGGTTAAAAGTTCAGCAAAAAGTCTGCGCAAACAATTTGAATCACATAAACGAAAGGCGTTCAATGAATACAGATTTAACTTAGACATGTAAATCATTTATCAATATTTTGATAACAAACGTGACATTTATAAATTGATATTTGAACATTTTTGGAGATATTCATAGTAAAGTTTCGGGTATGTTTCTATATACAGCTCATGTAACAAATGCGTTTGCCAAATTAGATTGGCAACTGGTCTTTATCTTAAGTTTCATAATTGTATATCTCCTGATATTCACCGAGATATGTTCAAAGCACTGACCATGAATTTATTGCCTCATGTTCAAACATTGATCATGAATAAATTGCCTCATGTTCAAACATTGATCATGAATAAATTGCCTCATGTTCAAACATTGATCATGAATAAATTGCCTCATGTTCAAACATTGATCATGAATAAATTGCCTCATGTTCAAACATTGATCATGAATAAATTGCCTCATGTTCAAATCACTGACCATGAATAATTTGGCTTGTGTTCAAAGCACTATCCATGAATATATTGCCTTATGTTCAAAGCATTGACCATTTGCTTTATGTTCAAAGCACTGACCAGGATTACATTCCCTTATGTTCAAAGCACTGGTTATGAATAAAAGCCTAAAGTTCAAAGCATTAAGCAAATTTGAAATTCTTACATGGTTTTATCTTTATCATATTTCTAATGCGTATTTGAACATTTTCTTTCACGTTGTTAAGCTGCATATAAATGTATAATATGTTCGTATCCACATCCTTATACATGTAATCGTTTTTATGCTTATGAATTTATTCAGGACGCTTTGACATGATCTGTTTTTACTCTTCAAACTTGAACACATCAAACTTGAACACATCAAGCTTGTTGATGGTGTTCAATAGCCAATGCATGGCCACCGCTGAGAGCGATAAAACCTGCCATCCTTCACCACACAAAATATGAACTTATCAGTTTTTCAATCTGGACAAAACTTCTATCGATTATAGAAAGACAAATAGAAACAACAAAAAAAACAAAAAACAAAAAAACCAACAAAAAAACAATAATATTTACTAAATGATACTAGTAATTGAACACTGCAGACCTAAACCAGACGGCAGGTGTGTGCCGGAAGATCTTGGTCTTCACTGGTCGCATGGGTAGAATTGTTTTACCTCCAGCACATGCTAAGGGTTTGGTATTATACTTAAAGGCACATTATGCCTCAGAAACGAAAATGTGTTTACTTTTCTGGAAAGGGCAAATATGTTTTTTAAAATATTCAAATAATGGTTTTAGAGCATGTAAGATGCTTGTTACCTGAAGAAAATAGAGATAAATGTGAAATAAATTGTCGTAAATGTAGCAAAATGTAAACAACGTGTAGCATTTTGACTTCAATACAAAATACTTCATCACTATTACTGTACTTATTGCCAAAAAGCAACAGATTTTTTAAAAATGGTTCATATAATTGGTTAATGAGTAAGTTTTTGGAAACCATGAATGTACTCAAAAAAATGAAAAGCTTTTGAAGAATAAGAATAGAAGCATTTCTGAGGCATACTGGGCCTTTAAGAAAACATGAAAGACTTTTAAATTCTATAAGAGTTTTAACTTTTTTTGGCGTAAAACTGCGCATACGGAGAATAATCAAACGTTCTGAATAAATTGTGAGAAATATTTAATACGATGTTTGTCAATGAAACACCGTACTATCATTAATTATGATTATTATATATAGCTATTATTATATATTTTCATCATCATTATTATTATTATATTATCATTATTATTATTATTAGTAGTAGTAGTATTAGTATAAGTATTAGTACATGTATTATTATTAATATTTAATATCATAAATCACCTGCACTATGTCTGAAATACAGTGCAAAAGTATATGATAAAAGTATTATATGTAATAAAATTTTTTGAAAATAAATTGAATTAAAATAACACCAAAGAAACGCAACTCAAAGACTATCTATTTAAAAGAAATATATACTTACAGTGAAATATGCCGCTTTAAAGGCTTAGAAAATATTTTTCCCTGTCTTTTTTTTTCTAAAATATTTTTTGACACAAAGAAAGCTTAACTTTGACAAGAATATTTTTAATTACTGCAATTCACGCGACACTGATGATGACATCTCCAAAGTTGTCCCCGGTACTCTTACTTGTAAGTCTTGAGCGAGATAACGCTCGGCGAAATGCACGTCACTGTATAAACATTCTATAAGATAAGTAGCATGTAGGTTTAGAACAGGATTATTTAACTTTATTTGGGCAGAAATTCCTTTCTCAGGTGCGGTTGTTATATTCACATTAGCGATCGTAAAATGACAGGAAACCAACCCTGATTCAAGGCTGAAGATTTACATTTTGTCTAATACCGTTTGTATGAGAACGGTTTTTGTTTATTGCAATAAAATTAAATCGTGACGACCCTTTATAAATAAAAAGGTCCATCCTAAAGAATTAGAAATAATAAACAATACCAATCGACAAAGCAATGGACTAGCTTTATTAGAACTAGTGAGTATTACCGAACGCAATGTTTAAATGGTACGCAAATGTTACTCCTACACCACACCTCACTGGACCAATAGCCGCAAATGACATAAACTGTTAAAGAAGGAATAAGTTGAAGAAATCTAGAATCCACAGACTGGTAATGAACAACATCCTGCAGTTTCGTAGATGGACTGTCAAAACTGTTCCTGCGAACCAAATAATTACATCAGCTAGAGAAAATAGATAATGAACTAGAAATATGTCCATATGATACAGATGTTCCTACATTCTAATATTTTGTCAGTGTACGGACGACCAGCGGGACAGCGGGACTGTGTGACAAACCAACAAATGGCAAATTTATATCTATCCGCTCACTTAGTAGTGGGACTTAAAATATGGTAAAGGGCAAAGCAACATAATAATGCAATTGGAAGAACGGCTTCTGAGATTGCATGCGGATAGCCGGGGGTAATGGTGTAAACGTGAGGCAACAGCCTCTGATGTAAACTATGGCGGACCCTTTACAACACGACCCTCTGTTGACCAACTACCTCTTCACAAAGACAGTATCAAATCTTCTCAGAGTAAGACACAATTATATTAACCTCCCTAGAGTGATACCTCTCAACAACCATCTTAAATCTCCCAAATAATGTTGCTCTGCAAAGATTGAAAAGTATGTCTTGCACCACCAACACATCAAAATCATATCTTTACACATAAGATTCAAGATTTCAAGATTTTATTTCATAATATTTTACAATGTCCGTCTCCACAAACAAAATGCCGGTTACAAATAGAAAATGAACAATCAATTTTCAATTATTCGTTTGATCTCGTTATATACATATAATAATCGATATCAAATCGATATGAGTGTGAAAACTTTAAAGGAGCTACATTGAGGTCCAAAAACCTGAAATAATAAAATTTGAAATCATTATCAACAGAGAACTATGCAAAATGATATCGAAATATACAAAGAAATATATTGAAAATCGTATATATATGCGAGACTAAGCCCGATTTGAGTCAAAAACGCTTTTCATTCTTGGATGACTTTACACCCTAGAACAACGGCAGGTGAATGAGCTGCAATTTTGTACACACTTTATTAAACTGAACAGACTTAATTTAGGTACCCCAATTACGGGTGTCCTAGTCCTATGTCCCGAGTGATGTTATGACATATATGTAAGTAATTAGTACAATGAATTATAATCTCTACCAGTAATACAAAACAAAGTCCTTTCGCAGAAATATGTGTCAGGCAGTGCATAACCCACAGGTACCTTACCTTGAATGTATGTAGATAATATGTAGGTTGACAGCGTTAAAGTTATTTTCATTTCTCAATATCCTTCACACCAAGGGAATTCGAGCTGTTTATTTTCTTAAGATAAGCGTGAGTACTTTACGGCGGCCAATAAAATTGAAGCACCCCCATAGGTAGGACAAGGAAGTGAAATTTATCTACTTAATCGTGTCAACAGACAAAACTCGAACTTGTAAACAAATATGAGCCGCGCCACGACAAAACCAACATAATGCGTTTGCGAAGAGCATGGATCCAGACCAGCCTGCGCATCCGCGCAGTCTGATCAGGATCCATGCTGTTCGCTTACAAACCCTATTACAATTAGAGAAACCGATAACGAACAGCATGGATCCTGATCAGACTGCGCGAAACGCATTATGTTGGTTTTGTCATGACGCGGCTCATATATCTGTCGTTGTGCCACTTTCAATACCTCTGTCTTTAAAAACAGCATTTTTAGTCATATAGATCAATGTCTCCTATATGGTAACATTCTATGGTAGAATCCCTACGTAAGACCACCTCGGAATTAAGACCATCCCGCTATTAAGACCAATTCTAAAATCAAAGCACAGAAGGCGCTGAATTTGTTTGGGTCTCATAATGTCAGAAAGGTGAAGGTTGTGAGATTATAAAACAATTTGTTTTTGTATAGTGCCACCAATGCTTTCCAGCGTTTTAATTTTAGTAGATTGGCTATAAGACTAATTGCAACACTGATATTCGATCCAATGTTTATTTGACTTAAACAATTTGAAAAAAAAATGAGTTGCCTTAACTGGGATTTGAACTCCAGACCTCTCACTTCCTAAGCGAGCGTGCAAACCCCTCGGCCGCGTTGAATTTAATGAAGATAAACATATTATTCTAGTTAGGGTTTGTAACGACGCTAACTGTTGTTTAACACTTGTGTAAATAACCATGGCGCTTACTATAAGCATGTATATCTATAAATAATAAAGCAATATTAGAAATCTTCGACCATTCGGGAATTATTTTGCTTGAAAATTAATCCGCCTGTCATGTGACCATATTTACGCAGTGATCTCCCCTAAATTGTTCGGCCTAAGTCTTACATATAAAGGGAAGTAACCGCTTCAAAAAGCGGACTACTTTCGGCACTTGCAATTAACAGCATTAGAGTCTGAAATTTCGCTACCATTATTTGTTTGGGGCGTCAGACCAAACAAATAAAAACGGAATTTTCTGTTCTTTATGTCAATAGTTACATGAACCAGAATTAAGACCACCCCGATTATCCATTTTAAGACCACCAGTTTCATTCCCAATTCTTTGTTATATTCTTTATTTGACCCCACTATTGAGACCACCCCGCCATTTAGACCAGTTTGGTCCAGTCCCGATGTATGTTAAAAGATCTGTGTGATAAACTGCCCTTGTTAATCAAGGCCAAACCTAGATTTTATGTTTATTCTTTTAATTTATTTGAAATAAACTATATTGCAATTATTTTCTACTGTCTATGCTCTTTTCGTGCTTTGTCCTTCAACCTAATGGAACATTAAGTGATTATATATCCTTTGACCCCAGTATATAGGGTCAGGTCAGCCTGCACATCCGGGCTGTCTGACAAAGTGCTATAACGTTGACTCAGTATACTAATCTGATGATTTTAATGGACGATCCAAAATAAATAAAAAAAAAATAAATAAATAAATAAATAAATAAATAAATAAATAAATAAATAAATAAATAAATAAATAAATAAATAAATAAAATAAATAAATAAATAAATAAATAATAAATTAATTAATTAATTAATAAACCCAAACAAATAAAACAACAACAACACACAAATTTCAAAGTGGGCAAGTCCATTAATCAGGTCCATCAGAGAAATTCAGTTTATTTGCATATATAGTCAATAATGTTATCAATTATACCTCGACCAATAAATTTTACCAGGGTCCTTCCGTTTAAAATTTTGGGGAAAAAAGACCCACTATCATTATAGGTTATCTTGTCTGTATGCCTAGATCAATATTTACTCATACCTGTTAAGAAATATTCATATCAGCATGGACATTATATTAGCTATGGTCATTCAAATAGACTTTTAAATGACCCCGACTGAACATTCACCTTTACAATAGATGCATGAAGAGGACTAAAAGAAGCAAAAGGTTTATCAATTAAATGGCCTTGTTATCGATAGTGCTTAATATATCGATATGTTTCACGTAAACGCATTCCAATGGTTTAACCCTTAAAACTGCATGCATGCCTCCAGATGAGCCAAACTATTTCAAGACAACCAACCTTGAAAAAAAAATGTGTTAAGATATTAATTAAAGTAACAATATTAAAATTCAAGACATAATTTACATGTTATTTAATTTTTTGTCAAATATACTCAATACAGTGGAAAAGAGTGTTTCTTGTATTATACAAATATGGCACCGGATATGTAGCCATAACTGTTGGCACAGGCGGGGTCTTTCAAATATTTGAAAGCCCCTGGAAAAGGGCAAGCAAATATTTTTCTCTTTATAGAAATTGAACTAATAAACGTTTCTTACTGTGGGTTGATGGCAAACACTAAATTATGGTAATCTAGCTATTCAAAATATACACTGCATTCGTTCTATATACAAAAATGCATTGATTGAATGTCATAAGCTGATGACCCAAGTTTTATATTCAATATGTATGTCAAAAAGTAATCAAGTGTCTCATGTTACATTGAGGCAGTTCATTTTATGAAATGTCAACGTAATGAGGTTATTTGCTCTGACCATACAATACTTCTACCAAACTCTATAATCAGGATTAAAAAAAAATATTTCTCCAAAGTTATATTATGTTATTAAAACCAATCTTTTTGCAGCTGTTTTTACCATCGTCGATTTTATACACTATAAGGTTATTATACATTGTTGAGTACAATACTGAATTCTATTGGACGAGCACACAGTTGTCAAAACTATATTAGACGAGGCGCTAGACAAGTCCGATATAAGTTTTGTAGCTGTGCACAAGTTCAATGGAATTTATATTGTTTTCAATCATGTTCGATGACCACTTTATTTCACACCTCCATTTTTTATATTTTGACAGACCTTTGTTTCTTCAGGTACAAAAAGGATGCAATATAGATTTTGCATGGACTTTCAAAACTGAACATGAGACAAGATGGGTGCGATATGGAGATGATACGGACCTTTTGGATTCTGGAAATGAAAACGAGGCTATATATATGGGGTGTGACATATCGATTTGATATAGAACTGAACTGGTGTGGGTTTTTTCAGTCGCCACATATACATGTATATATACTGGCGTGAAAGAAGTCGATAGCTGGTATATTTTTCTTTTCATCTTACAAACAAGTCTTTGTTGCGCCGTTATATGTCGCAATCCCGCTAAATATCAAACTTGCCGCTAAATGTCGCAAACACCGCTAAATATCACAAATCACAAATCTTCTGGCGATAAATGTCGAAATGGTAACGTTAAATGTTGAACAATTTTCCTACACTGCCGTTAAATATCGCAAGATGTATTTTAATGATAAAATTAAGTTAGCTAGCCTATGGTATCAAATTAAAAAAAAAAAACATTTTGATTATGCCCATTCATTAAAGGAATGATTATGTTATACTCGGTTACAAAAAAATAGGTTTCAAAATGCTAGCCCCTGATGTGACGGATATTATTGAAGATATAAACTGGTATTGTATCATAGTTTGGGGACCTTTCTGTTGAAAATGTGTCAGAGTTAAATTGTATACATATATACATTGTATCATAGTTTGGGGACCTTTCTGTTGAAAAAGTGTCAGAGTTAAATCGTATACATATCACGGGGGTGGAACCCCATATGAATCTCAAAGATGAGCATCGGTAAAAATTATATGTGAATTTCCGCTGCACCAGATGTGAAGCATAACACCAGATGTGACTGGAATAAAAGGTCGATCGCAGGGTAAGTTTTCATCTTTTTAAATATTTATATAAAATTCAATCCTTTTTTTAAGAAAATCGAAATGTGATTCTACCCTCCTGACTCTCCTCTATATTACCCATTGTTGTTTTGGATTTCTATGCAGTCTTCGTCGAGATTTTCATTCCGTCGTGGGTTCTGGTGTGTCCAAAACATGCAATGTGAATAAATAAAATGTCACTTAACGGACTAAAAAACAGAGATTTTACGAAATCTCACTACAGATCGATGCTAAACATTCAATCAAATCCTGGTTTAAACATTCACTGATATTTGGCTATATACGAAGGGAATCGCTGCTCAAAATTGCATTTGAGCTCCAGATGTGCTGAAGAGATCCATATGTGCATAACATAAAAAATTAGCAACAAAATTACGCATCACTTTCATAAAGCAATCTAGAATTTATTCTATTGTGTATCATTCTGTAATAAATACTATTATCAGAAATAGACACATTTTCACGAGACGAGCTTGAATAACATAGTATCCATATAGATAGAGATATAAGACATTCTGCATACGAAAGGTTTTGAAAATACGTAGATATGGTGGGAAGGACTTGCTTATTTTGACTTATTTACGTCGTGTGTACTGCAATCTTTCCCTTTTTATGCCGCCATGCATTAATTAATTAATTAATTATTCACTCGACTGCACTGTCTGCATCATAGGGGAGTAATGTGAAGCGTGTTTGAATTTGTTATGATGCTGTAAGAAAGTTAGTGATAAACTTTTAAAAAAAGATCAAAGAAACTTTGCATGTTTATTTTCCACACCAAGAAACGTCCCTGCATAATATTTACATGGTTCACTTCATGCCCACAGTCGCAATTATGGGTCAATGCCTATCTGAATTTTATGCCTGCTCTGTAATTCTTTGAGAAAAAAAACCACAACAACAACAGCAAAAAACAAATTTATTAATGGGATATGTAATGTGGAAATGGGTTTGTTTAAAGTTTTGTCTGGTGCATGGACGTACTTGTTTATAAACCTTTTAATTTTTGTTCATGTTATTTTGCGCTAGGAGGCAATGCCTCTATGAATCTTTCCATGAGTACATGTAGCATTACTTGCAATATTATCCATTTCAAGTCCCCGAGAAAATAACAATAATCGTTAATAATAGACTTATTGATATAAATTTAAAAATCCATCTTTTGGCATGCCATTAAAATGCTGATGAAACGGCGGTTAGTGTAGTACCGGCGCGTCCCAGTTATTTACAGCAATGTTTTTCTGCGTCTTTGGTCATCCAACCAATCAGGAACACCCAACACACTTCTGATTGGCTCATATGGTGTGGGGTTTACAATATCGGTCATTGACAAGATACATAAAAAGTAACCGAGGTTTCGAGTGGGGAATTTAATTTATGGAGAGAAGCCAATCATAAATTGAAATTTTATGTTTATTAAAATTCTCATTTCTGTTTATCATGCGATAAAACAGTTATAATATATCGAACTCGACTATTATGTAGAAATATCATGACCTGGGGCGGCATCTCGGGTTTTCCTTACAGACAATGTTCTCGACCCATATTCTGTAAAGAAAAACCTTCGATGTCGCACCAGGCCATGATATTTCCACATAACAGTCTGTCGCTATAACTATAACTTGTGGAATATTAAAGTGATAGATATTTTTATGAATGTAAACATTATTATAGAAACATATTATATGACATGATAGCTTTACAAAGTTCAATACTTTCAGTTTGGTTTGTCCAAGTTACATATCTTTTATTAGTGAATTGTTTATCATACGAGTACTATCCGCTCTGCGTCAACATTTTCATGTACTCGGGCCTTTTAGTATTTCTAATGCTAGCATAAGCTAGTGAGCCCTGTCATTGTGATGATCAAACACACTAATGTTACCATTGAACTTTCAGCCAAAGCTTCGAAATCTAAATTGTTTCTATACATTGGCTATTCAATGCTTATATGGAAGTGGTCCGTAGTTTTGTAGATGGTTTTCTACATCACTTATGAATCTCTTCAGCACATCTGGAGCTCAAATGGAATTTTGAGCAGCGATTACCATCGTATGCAGCCAAATCTCAATAAGTGTTTAAACCAGTGTTTGTTTGAATGTTTAGCATCGATCTGTAGCGAGATTTCGTAAAATCTCTGTTTTTTGAGTCCGTTTAGTGACATTTTCTTCATTCACATTGCATGTTTTGGAAACACCAGAACCCACGACGGAAAGAATATCTCGCTGAAGACTGCATAGAAATCCAAAACAACAATGGATAATATAGAGGAGAGTCAGGAGGGTAGAATCACATTCGATTTTCTTAAAAGAAGGATTGAATTTATATAAATATTTACAAAGATGAAAACTTACCCTGCGATCGACCTATTTTTCCATTCACATCTGATGTTATGCTTCACATCTGGTGCAGCGGAAATTCACATATAATTTTTACCGATGCTCATTTTTGAGATTCATATGGGGTTCCATCCCCGTGCATATACATGCACAGTGCGGTAACTGGAGTGCAGGTATCAGTTACCCGCACTCCAGACAATGCCCGTTGATTGGCTCATTTTTGCTGGGGTTTACATATTGTGACGGCAGAGAAAGGGAAAGCGGCAGAAATATCATATTCAGATGCTCGATCATTGGTTACTTTTTCCCGGGGTTTAAAATTGTGACAACAGGGAACGTGTTTTCATGTTTTGACTATGATACAAAAGAGAAAGAACATCAAAACACTCGGCAATCTGATTTATACCTCGGGGGCTACGTCCCCTCGTACAAATCAGATAGCCTCGTACGTGTTTCGATGTTCATTCTATTACATATGGACATATTTTGAAATTTTACAAATGATTACTGTATAGTAAAGATCTATTACGGTTCTTATAATATAGTAATCGTCAACTTGCAACCACTGGTAGCTCTACCAAAGATAATAAATTTTATTTCAGAATTCATGTATTATTAGGAAAAATCTGAACGCACCTTATATAACATTTTTAAATTGTGAAAATAAATACACATGCAGATTTTATTAAAGTGGCTTTGAATGTAGGCTACATTGTTTTTTGCATTAAATAAAATTTAAATCATCTCTCTACTTCTATGCAAAGCTTTATTGAAAACCCGTGTTTTATATCAGGGATGCTTGTATATGGTATACATCCCTGTTAACATAATGCAATACGCGAAATCAAATTACTTTGAATGAACCAAAGACCCTTAAATGAACCTAAATGAACAGCTAGAGATCTATTTAAAATACACACATTTTGGAAAACACAATTATCAATAGATAAATAAATACTAAGACGAGACAAAATTATGTGAAATATTCAATACAGTAACCATGGATTGATGTTCAAACATACAATTTTAATGAAGTGAATTTCATATATATCATAACGTTGCCTGAAGCTAATTCTGTGGTTGAAAATATGTGGTGACGAATACGAATGCATTTTTAAAGAGTTGTACCCCTTTGATGATTTGACAGCCGGAAGTCAGGTTTAGCACATTAATTTAGTGTCAAATATTTAATAAACTACTTATTGCTGAAAAACAGTGAGGAGACATTGCGAAAATCATGGCTTGTCCTGTAAAACTCTTTATATTGTTCATGTTGAATTTTGTCGTTTCACTTTATGGGACTGTTTCTGCGAACAAAACAAATCCTTATTATGTTGAAGTTGAACCGCACCAAGAATTTCCACTTCACATCAAGGATAATGAAGAGCAAACGCTGACATTCACATTCAGAAATTACCAAGGAACCGTATTTAGAATTAAGCCAGTCATATCGGAGCCGGATGTAGCAGATGTGTACATGAATGCATCGGAAAGCTTAGAACCAAAAGAGACAGCAAATTTTACCGCAAAGGTCAAAGGGTCTTTTTTAGGAAAAACTTTCCTTAGGATGTTTATCAACACGACACAGGTTAAGGAACCTGAAAAATATGACCAGGGTTATTCTTATGAAGGCGAAGAATGGTACGAATTACCAGAAAAGTATGAAATAACAGTGAGTCGTGTGGAAGGTGCCCTCAGTCATTCATTTACTGGAATGGTGATTATTTTAGTGTGCCTCGCAAATGTTGCTATGGGTTGTAAGACGGAGCTTTCAGTGGTGAAAGAAGTATTGAAGAGACCAATTGGACCATTGACTGGCATGTTTTCACAGTTTATCCTTATGCCGTTGGTATGTTTATGCTATAATGATAATCTCACACTATAAGAATCTTACACTGGCTGCCGGTACAGACCGGAATATCTAGCTCCAGGGTAACTATTTATGGCGGTAACGAGGCTCTGTCGAGTCTCCGCTTAACAGTTACCCAAAAGCTAGATATTTCTGTATGTACCGATAGCCGGTTTTCTTGCATATTGCATATCAATTATTTTCAGAACATTGAGGATTCTTATCACAACAGGGACTTTGAATACTTTCATGTGAGAGAGATATCCAACTAGCTTACAGAACATCAATGGTTCTACTCAGGTGCCTGTTCATGCCTGAAATAATGCACAGAAAGGCACCTGAGGTCTTCCTCCGCCATATGACCTAAAGGCTATTCTGTGTAGGTGCCACATAAAACCCAACAATTTTTTTTTCTAAATATGAAGGTATTCTTTGCTAAATACATGATTTTAAATTTCTGTTCTTAAACTTATTGCATTAAAATGATTCTTAATTTTATGTTTCAGATTGCTCTTGGTGTTATATTCATGTTGAAGTTTGACCCTGCTAACGCTCTAGGTTTCTTCGCTATGGCATGCTCTCCTGGTGGGTCAGCTAGCAATGCATATTCCTATCTGCTTGCTGGTGATGTCTCTCTCAGTGTCACTATGACATTGTGCAGTGTTCTTCTTTCTCTTGGTAAATATTCAAACTGAAATATGAGCTGTGTCATGACAAAACCAACATAGTGGGTTTGCGACCAGCAAAGATCCAGACCAGTCTGCGCATCCGCGCAGTCTGATCAGGATTAATATGCTGTTCGCTATCAGTTTCTCTACTTGTAATAGGGTTTGTAAGCGAACAGCATTGATCCTGATCAGACTGTGCAGGCTGGCCTGGATTCATGCTGGTCGCAAACGCACTATGTTGGTTTTGTCATGACACGGCTCATATATACTTTTTTTGCTCATTCCTTCTAAGTTCTTTTGGTAAATATTCGAACTGAAACAAATACTTTGCATGTTCATTTTTTCTCTTTAATAGTAAATATTGAGACTGAAATATTTATGTTCTTATTATAATATAAATTAGCTTGATAGCTTGTTTTTTTTATTCTTTTTCTTAGTAAAATATTCAAACTGAAATATGAATGTTTTGCACTCTTCTTGATTAACTTTCAGATTTTATTACACAATTTATACTTTATAAATGTAGCTCGTTTATCTTTACAGGGATGATTCCACTTTGGCTGTTTACTGTTGGAACAAAGGTGCTATATCAGACTGAGGTGCAAATTCCTTATGTAAACATCCTTACCTCCCTTGTTGGTCTAGTTATACCTGTTGGTATTGGTATGGTCATACAATGGAAGAAACCAAACTGGTCCAAGTTGATCATCAAAGGCCTCCGTCCACTTATGGTCATCTTTTTCATATTGGTCTTCACTGTTGGTGTCTATTCAAATCTGTACATCTTCACATTGATGCGTAACAAGCCAGAAATTTTACTGGCTGGGGCACTCGTTCCATACATCGGATTTCTGTTTGGCGGAATGATGGCTATCATTACTAGACAGAGTTGGAAGAGGGTGCGCACCATCGCCATTGAGACAGGGATTCAGAATACAGGTATAGCTATTGTTTTGCTGAAGGTGTCCCTACCACCGCCGGATAACGATATAAGTATCGTTGCCCCAATTGCTGCCGCGATCTTTACACCAATCCCCATGCTGGTTGCGATAATTTGGTATGAAATCTACAAGAGGTTTTACAAGAAGAAAACAAATGAAATGTACCTAGACGACCACGAGGGTGAGAGCGATATAGATGCCGGGAAAGAGGGTATAGACGGAACATATCACAAGAACGGAAACGGAGAAAGCAAGAAATATATGGAATTAAAAGTCAACAATAACATGAATGAAATTTGAAAATTTGTCAGGGTTTTTTGTTTTTCAAAATAGCCAATATATTTTTTTTACTAAAATTAAAGAGTATAAAACAATATCTAATAAGATATTTAATGAATGTTAAAATTTTGCTAAAATGAAATGTAAAGGAACAAAATGTTATGCTGCTTTTTTAAGAAGGATTTAACAATTTAGCAATTATTTCATGCATGTACTATTTGCTCTTGAAGAAAATACCATACATAATTTCTTTTGACATTTTTCTTAAATTATTCTTGTTCAAAATTCAAAACACTTAAAGAAGTTGATATATAGCTTGATACACTTTAAGACTTTGGCCTAAAATTTGAAACACTTAATTTTGGGTAGTTGTTTAACAATTATTTAAATTGTGTATAGATAGAGCAAAAAAAAGAATGGTTATATTTAAAACCAATCTCTGAATTTTAATGTAATTGAAGTACATTAAATGTAATGATTATCATGAGCTGTTTGGGAATACATGTAGTTTGCTTTAAAACTGTTTGCATTTTGTACATAAAACAATGTTTTTGTTAGTAAAACAACAAATATTTGTGTTAAGGATATGTTAGATAATTTGAAGATGGCAGTTTTAGGTTAATTTTGAATATTAACAATAAGAATGAAAAATTAATTTTGATCTCAAAGACACATGCCTTTATTATACAAATAATTTGAAAGCTATACTTGAATGTCCTTATGGTCAGTGATTTGAAAGCCATACTTAAAAGTTATTCAAAACTTACAAAATCAAATATTTAGTTGATAGAAGATACTTATGTTTGCTATATTTTTAGAGAAGGTACTTTTAAGTTTTCTATTTTTTATATTATTAGGTATATTTTTTGTTATAGATATTGTTAATCAGATTTATTTGTACAGGTTTTGTTGATTATATACGGAATATTATGTTGTAGTAGCTTTCTGAGGCATTGTATTTTGCTACGAGCAGCAGTGGAAAATTGATCTTGAGATATCAATTTCTAACATTGCGAGTGGAAAAATACATAGCCTCAGCATAATTTTCATTTTATTATATACCTTTTCATTTTATTCAGAAAATGAAATGTAGTTGTCAAGAAATAAATTCATGACTGACAGATGAATTCGTAATTCTTGCAAAATTGGCAACGCCTTTAATAATTTTGGTTCCCATTTCCAAATGCAATGTCATAACAAAGCCAAGATCGGAACCAACATCATAAATAATCCTACACTTCCATAAATGGTACCGTATTTGTCACTAACATAATACGGAAATTTCTATCTGTTGAAGCGTATTTGGGTCTTCAAGATTTGCGTGTATTTTAGGGAGAAAATGTATAGGTATATAATAAGATGACATTGTGTCTTACAAGAAGTTGATATTACATATAGAGTTGTATTTAAAGCCTAGAAAAGTGTTATTTTGGAACCTGTGGCAAAAAGGAACACTTTCAGTTTGAGTTGTATGTAACTAGGTATGAGTTAAATTTAACTTGGTACCAGTTTAATGTAACTTGGTATGAGTTTGATGTAACTTGGTACAAGTTTAATGTAACTTGGTACCAGTTTAATGTAACTTGGTATGAGTTTAATGTAACTTGGTATGAGTTTATAATAATGTAATTTGGTACAAGTTCAATATGTTACTTGGTATAAGATAAATGTTACAAAGTACAAGTTTTAACTTGGTATGAGTTAAATGTAATTTGGTACAAGTTTAATATGTAACTTGGTATGAGATAAATGTTACTTAGTACATCATTCTTAATATAACTTGGTACCAGTTTAATGTAACTTTATAATAGTTCAATGGAACATGGGTACAAAGTTCATGTACCTTGGTACAAGTTAAATGTAACTTGGTATCAGTTAGATGTTAATAAGTTTGAGTTAAATGTAACTTGGTATCAGGTTAATGTAACATGGTAACACATTTTAATGTTACTTGGTACATGTTAAAAGTAGCTTGGTACATGTTATATGTAGCTTGGTACCAGTTTCATGTAACAAAAGTTTATGTAACTTTGTACAGTCAAGTTAAATGTAGCTTAGTACAAGTTAAATTTAACTTCAAACGAGTTAAATGTTACCGTATATGAACGAGTTAAATGTTACCGTACATGAACGAGTTAAATGTTACCGTATATGAACGAGTTAAATGTTACCGTACATGAACGAGTTAAATGTTACCGTATATGAACGAGTTAAATGTTACCGTATATGAACGAGTTAAATGTTACCGTATATGAACGAGTTAAATGTTACCGTATATGAACGAGTTAAATGTTACCGTATATGAACGAGTTAAATGTTACCGTATATGAACGAGTTAAATGTTACCGTATATGAAATAATAACAAATGTAATAGAGCTAGTCTTTTCATCACATAATGTTATTAAGAAAATAAACCGACAAAAATGTCTGTTTTACAGGTCCTTTTAACACTTTCAGTGGTAAAGAAATACATGATAGTTATAAACGTACACAAATTCATACATGATGAAATCAAATGTCATGCTGTAAAAAACTTTGTACTCAACATTATGTAGCAGGGTGAGATTGGTATAGTTTTTGTTTATTCTTTTCTCAGTTCCATCCTAAGTTAAGTCAAAAGAATTTGCCTGTAAATTTGAAATAACTGGTAGTTACCAAGTATTAGAAATAAATATGAGCCGTGCCATGACAAAACAAACATAGTGCGTTTGCCACCAGCATGGATCCAGACCAGCCTGTGCATCCGCATCCCTGCTATTCGCTGTCAGTTTATCAGTATCAGTACTTGTAATAGAGTTGTAAGCGAACAACATGGATCCTGATCAGACTGCGCGGATGAGGAGGCTAGTCTGGATCCATGCTGGTCGCAAACACACTATGTGGGTTTTGTCATGGCGCGGCTTTATGTTGTTTGCTATTTAGAAATACTGGCATTATTGAGCTGTTCTTACGAGTATATAACAAGTTTTCAGGATAAAAGCAATAATGGTCCAATGAAAAACTTTGTTAATTGTTGTAATCTTATTTTGTTTAATTTTTTTCTTTGCTGCCACAAATCATTATTTTTTAGCTCACCTGTCACAAAGTGACAGGGTGAGCTTTTGTGATCGCTTTTCGTCCGGCGTCCGTCGTCCGTCCGTCGTCCGTCCGTCGTCCGTCGTCCGTAAACTTTTACTTTAAATGACATCTCCTCATAAACCACAAGGCCAATTTCATCCAAACTTCACAGGAATGTTCCTTTGGTGGTCACCTTTAAAAATTGTTCAAAGAATTTAATTCCATGCAGAACTCTGGTTGCCATGGCAACCGAAAGAAAAAACTTTAAATATCTTCTTTTAAAAAACCATAAGAGCTAGAGCTTAGATATTTGGCATGAAACATCTTCTAGTGAGTGTCTACCAAGTTTGTTCAAATAAAAGCCCTGGGGTCAAAATTGGCCCCGCCCCGGGGGGTCATTGATTTTCCCTATATGCATATAGTGAAAACTTAACAAATCTTCTTTTAAAGAACTCAAAGAGCTATGGCTAAGATATTGAGCATCAAACATGTTCTAATAGGTGTTTATCAAGTTTGTTCAAAGAAAAGCCCTGGGGTCAAAATTGGCCCCGCCCCAGGGGGTCATTGATTTTCCCTATATGCATATAGTAAAAACTTAAAAAATCTTCTTTTAAAGAACCAAAAGAGTTAGAGCTAAGATATTTAGCATGAAACATGTTCTAATAAGTGTCTACCAAGTTTGTTCAAATAAAAGCCCTGGGGTCAAAATTGACCCCGCCCGGGGGGGTCATTGATTTTTCCCTATATATGCATATAGTAAAAACTTAAAAATCTTCTTTAAAAGAACTCAAAGAGCTATGGTTAAGATATTTAGCAACAAACATGTTCTAATAGGTGTCTACCAAGTTTGTTCAAATAAAAGCCCTGGGGTTAAAATTGGCCCCGCCCCGGGGGTCATTGATTTTCCTTATATGTGTATAGCAAAAACTTAAAAACTCTTTTTTGAAAAAACCCAAATAGCTATGGTTAAGATATTAAGCATGAAACATCTTTTAGTGAGTGTCTACAAAGTTTGTTCAAATAAAAGACCTGGGGTCAAAATTGGCCCTGCCCCGGGGTCATTGATTTTCCTTATATGTGTATAGCAAAAACTTAAAATCTTCTTTGAAAAAACCCAAATAGCTAGAGTTTAGATATTAAGCATGAAACATATTCTAGTAAGTGTCTACAAAGTTTGTTCAAATAAAAACCCTGGGGTCATAACTGGCCCGGCCCCAGGCGTGTCATTGTTTTTAACTATATGTGTATAGTAAAAACTTTAAAAAAATCTTCTTTTAAATAGCCCAATGAGCTAGAGCTTAGATGTTTAGCATGAAACATTTTCTTATGGGTGTCTACCAAGTTTGTGCAAATAAAAGCCCTTTGGTTAAATTGGCCCTGCAATGTTGGGGGGGGGGGGGGGGGTTGGGGCGGCCTATATACAGGTGAGCGACCTCAGGGCCATCATGGCCCTCTTGTTGTGTTTAACTGTTGTTGTTTTTTTCTCAATTTCAAAGTGTATAAGCAGGTCAACTTAATTACTCTAAAATACTCCATGTTATTTATATCGTGATGAAATCAGAACTACAATGTACATATGTATTTAAACATTTCATGTTGAAATATCTGAAGAAGATTTTTTGTTTTTATCAAATCAAATGAAAAAAAAATTAAGGTTGTAAATTAAATTTTTTACAAATTCGTTAATTTTGTGCTTTTATTTTACAATTTCAAAGGAAAATACATGTAACATGAAAACTTAATAGTTTCATGAAAATTCATGTGTTGTCTTTCACAAATCAAAAAGGCCCGGGCCTCTTCACAGTTTTAGAGGAAGAATTGCCCAGATTAATGAAAGGAGTCTTTTAATTGTTGTCCCTTTTGATGATTGTTTTAAGTGATATACCTTTATACCTTGATACTTTTTTAACAAACGTTTCAAGTGACTGTAACTATGTTCAAACTGCCTGATAAAGATCTGAATTTACATACATAATGATGATAGTTAAACTGTTTTACATATATTTTGATATTTACACTACTTATTAAATCAGCATTTTATTTCATACATAGTTCTCATCCATTTTTTTGTTTTCACTCTTTAGTCATGATACCTTAAAAGCAGCTGAGATATCTCTGATTTACATTTTGTATTTCTAACTTTTTATAGTATTATTATTATTTTCCTATATTCAAAACAACCTTTTTCATGATGTTCTTTTTTGTTTTCCTTCTCCTATGTTTTCCTTCTCCTATTGATTTTTATAAACCAAAATGAGCCATGTCATGACAAAACCAACATAATGGGTTTGCGACCAGCATGGATCCAGACCAGCCTGCGCATCTGTGCAGTCTGATCAGGATCCATGCTGTTCGCTATCAGAATCTCTACTTGTAATAGGGTTTGTAAGCGAACAGCATGGATCCTGATCAGACTGCGCAGATGCGCAGGCTGGTCTTGATCCATGCTGGTCGCAAACGCATTACGTTGGTTTTGTCGTGACGCGGCTCAAATAAATGTTTGAATTTTAGTGTTCATAAAGAGATTGCATAGAGTTATGCTAAGATGGCATCTAGTTCACACAAAGATGGTAAAAAGTTCATGCAATTTTATGGCATCAAGGTTTTGCAAATGTGACAGTTTTATTTCAAAGATTGCTTAAAATTTGTGCAAAGATGGCAAAAAGTGGCTGCACATGGCAAAAAGTGGCTACACAATGTGCCTGTCTTTACCATGAGCTCTGCAATCAATTAGTTCATGGAAGATAAGTTGTTTTTCTCTTTTTCCTAAAATAATTAAGGCATGATACGGACGCCTTTGGCCCTATTCCACTAAAGAAAGTTTAAAAGATTGGATAACTGCATGGTATATACATGTATGTACATACAATTACGACACCGGGTCACGGAAGTATGATAGTTCTTACTGTTTGCATGTACTTCCAAATACCGCTACGGCAATTAAATTAGTAACGATTAAAGCATTTTTTTCACACATTTAAACGCATTCAAAGGTTGTTTGAACACTCGGCTGTGTTATTAACAAGGTGTCAAAATAATCGAAGGACTTCGACTTATTTGTGGGAAATTGTACTAGATTTATTCTATAAGGACCACGAAAAAACTTCGACACATCGAAAAATTCGACACATAAAATCTCGACTCATAAATAGGTTTTTATTTGAAATATATAAGAGAAAAAATCGGGACTTTCATTTTACTTCGACACATCGAAAAAATCGACTAATCGAAGTTCGACTCATAGAAGTTCTACTGTATATAAATATGTTCTACATGATTACATTGTTTTATAATACTGATTATGTCGTGTATAGAACATGATGTTAAAGGTTCTATATTTAAAAAAAAATTGTTTGAAGAGGTCATGTTTAAAAACATGTGTTAGTTATATTACTTTTTTACTTGTTAAAAATGTTTCACTTGTTAATTTGTTCAAATGTATATGGTTGTAATTGGGACTAATCCCGGTGGGTATTGCATCTTCTCGGACACCAGGGTTTGTCAGAACATGGTACTAAATTTGCATACATAGTGCGGGATTAGTGCCACCTACAAACATGGTATATTGTTCATAAATCATTGATTAAAAACTTGACTGTTATTTAACCACTAAAATAATGGTAATAAGTCTTTTTTTGCTGGTTATTACAATTTCTTAAATAAAATTAAATTTCTACAGTACCCATGGGGACAGTCTGACATCAGTTGTTGAAATGGTATATATACAAGACAAGGTTGTTACATACAGGGTATCATTTACAAATTGTGAGTAATATCTACAAGTTACACTGCCTATTTCCAACATTGATTTCTATGTTAAATGTAGGTATAGTTTTTTCATGCAGTTTTTGCATCCATTGAACTTTTCCAGAACTGAATTTTGAAGTGATCTTTATTGAAATGATTGCTTCGATAAAAGTATTAAAAAATAAGCAGCCAATTATGCTACGTGTCAGTTCAGGGATACTTAGCGTTAGACCAGGTAAGACCCTGGATATAGTTATTTTAGAAAATCAGCGAAAAAATGATTGTTTTAATGTGAATATTGAATTTAAATAAGTTAAATAATTAATACCGTGCTGTATTTGTGTCAAGAAGTAAAAAGTATCCGAGATTTGATAAGGAGCAAGTTGGGGATGGGCTGGGGGTGAAAGCTGTATGGTCTGCCACCCAACCCCAATTACTCCAATGTTAATGTGTAAGACTAGTCTAGAAGTGCTGGTTGATCATTGGTTAGTCCAGTATACAGTAATGTACAGGTTAATCTGTATGAGTTGTCATAGTTTTATGTTTTAAGATTATCCTAGTCATCTACAATACAGATAAACCTGTATCACTTTTATAAAGTGTTATACATACATGTATTTGAATAACATTTATGTACTGGTATATATTTTTATGTACAGTGCAACCCTGTGAAGAGCAACACCCCTGAGAAAGACTAATACTTTGGTTGTTGCCGAGAGGTGTTGCCATAGAGAGGTTGTACTGTACATGAAAATATATATAAATGTTATTTGGAGCAGGATCTTTCAAATAGTAATTTTGAAATTTGAAAGACCCTGTTTGGAGGCATGTTATTTGGACGTGTTACTTTTGGAAGACTTTGTACTGTTGTTGTATAGAAGTTATTGTTCTCCTGAGGGGCTGCTTTGCAGACTGAGTGTATTTTATTTTTACTGTTATTAAGCATTATTGTATATAGTTTATAACTATATGGTCTAGTTAAAACTGAATTCTTTTTATTTGTTTAACACAAAGTCAAGGGTGCCAATATTAATAAATTTCTGCACATTTACATAAACAGCCTTTATTTTTTGACTGATGTATTTTATATTTGATAGGATGATAACTTGCATCCTTTTGACTTTATTTTGTAAAACAAACACAATTTTCAAATACTCAGGCTGTGAATAATGGGACAGCATTTAAAGAAAATAATGACAACATTCACTTATTGTTAGGGCAGATATAAGCTCTGGGGTGTGCATTTGGCACTTTAATTCTTCTATACTACATTACAATGTATAATTATGTACAATTCGTAGATGGTCATGTATATCTTACAATAAAGATATAAATGTACATGTATTATTTAATTATAGAGATATATTAAACTTTGTTCTCTCATGGTATAATGCATACAGTTTAGGTGCCTCTTGGGTCTTTCACTGTTAGTATAGTCTTGAATGAGGCCATGCGGTCATAATAGTGCTTGTAAAATAGTTTAACCTTTTACCACCATATATGTAAAATGGTTTTACCCAGTTTTGAATTAGGAACAGTCCATTCAAAGTCAAAGGGATTTCAAAAGCAAAATACAAAAATCGAGGTAACAGCATTATAAAGCCTGGTCAGACTGCAGTAGGGCCTACAGGTTAGTTTGGCTCTTAAATGCAATTGCGGCATTCCATATCCGGAGATTGACGGAAAGGGCCGAGAATATGCGATTGCTCTTTAATGGCGGCAAATGCTACTCATTTCCGGTTCCAACCATACTTTATAATAATTATGTTAATTTAAGACAATTAACAGTTCCCACTACTGGTGATATTGATTATAATTAAGTCGTTTGTAGAATCATGTATTCTGTATTTTTTGCAGTGCCCGACGAATACGAGGTTACTTAAAGTTACTTACATTTGACTTTGTATATAATATTCTGAAAACCTGTTGTATCTGGAATTAAAAGTAATGATGAAAATTAGTGTTCTTTTATAGCCTTACTGGACAATTCAATATCTGAAAATAATGCTTTTTAGCTCACCAAAACATAAGGTTCAGGGTGAGCTATTAGTATCACAGCGGGATGCTCCGCCGTCCGTCATCATGCGTCAACAATCGTCTTCTTCTCTGAAACTGCTGGGCAGATTTACTCAAAGGGACCCGGCACAGTGTTGGGATAGTGTAAAAAAAGTAATTCTAGAAAAAAAATTATACTTTATATATAATATACAATGTATACAATATATATATATTTTTTAAAAATTGCTTTTTTACACTATCCCAACACTGTGCTGGGTCCCTGTGGATTTACTTTAAATTTGGCTTGTAGCATCCTTGTGAGTCACACTTGAATTTGCTCATGTCATTTCAATTGGCCCAAATTTTGTCTGTAGCATTCTTGGCATTCTTGGGTAGTCTTTTATCAAGTATGCTCATATAAAATTGATTGGCCCCCTTTAGGGGCCGCTAAAGGCAAAATAGAAATACCTTTAAATGTCTATTTCTACAGAACTAATTGATGGATGATCACCAAACTTTGTATGTAGCATTCTTAGGTAGTACTTTTATCAAATTTGCTCATATTAATTTGATCGGCCCCTTTTAGGGGTCTCTAGCGCTAAAAACAGAAAAAACCTTTAAACATCTACAGAACTAATTGATGGATGATCACCAAACTTTGTCTGTAGCATTCTTGGGTAGTCGTTTATCAAGTTTGCTCATATTAATTTGATTAGCCATTTTAAGGGGACACTAAAGCCAAAAATAGAAAAACTTTTCCTACTGAAATAATTGATAGATGATCACCAAACTTTGTCTGTAGCATTCTTGGGTAGTCTTTTATCAAGTTTGCTCATATTAATTTGATTGGCCCGTTTTAGGGGCCGCTAAAGCTAAAAATAGAAATACCTTTAAACGTTTATTTCTACAGAACTAATTGATAGATGATCACCAAACTTTGTAGCATTCTTAGGTACTCTTTTATCAAGTTTGCTCATATTAATTTGATTAGCCATTTTAAGGGGACACTAAAGCCAAAAATAGAAAAACTTTTCCTACTGAAATAATTAATAGATGATCACCAAACTTCGTAGCATTCTTAGGTAGTCTTTTATCAAGTTTGTTCATATTATTTTGATTGGCCCCGTTTAAGGAAAAGCTTAAATGCCCCAGGTCATGACATTTCTTCAAATTACTATTTAAACATATTCTATGCTCAAATTTAATATTAGAAAATATTGACAATGGATAATTTCCAACACTGATAAGCAGTTGTTTTTGGTGAGCGACTCAGTGCCACCATGACCCTCTTGTTACGTATTCAAACCTTTTCCCCCTCACCACTGTGGCAGAGACTTTGGATTCGTTCATGTTAGAAAGCTATATCCTGCCAAGCTCCTGACCTAGCTAGCTAACAGAACGTCGGTGGTTCTACCTGGTTTATATTTTATATACATATCTGGCTCGAATCAGGTGCCCGTTCGTGCCTGAAGTAATGCAAGGAAGGGCAACTGAGTTTCTTCCTCCATCAGTAAAGCTGGAACGTTGCCAAATGACCTATACTGTGTTGGTGTGACGTAAAACCTAATCAGCCAATAGTAAACTGTCTTGTTAGACTTACCGAATGGCCAACCTGGTATGGGTCTTTTCTGGCGACAAAGACTAATAAAGGTTTCAGTATGTATAGGGTAAAAAGATTATCTCACTCCTTGTGCACATTTTTCATTTGTACTATTATAAAGATATTATTGTGTATGAATACATGCAAATTATATGCGTCAATTTTTACTCTTCCAGAAATGGAAACCCAACCCTTTCGCCTGTGGGGAAAAGCAGGTACTTTAATTTAGGGAACGATGACTTCTGACGTCAGCGAAAAGACGCCACAAAAACGGTGTAGAAAATCAAACGGAAGTATTACTTGCTGATTTTGTACAAAATAAATATTGTCATAGCATTTAACTGTATCATATCTCTAAACGTGTTAGCTAAGATGCTATAATTCTGTAAGATGAATTTAAAAACTTCAAAGCATGTCTCCAGCATTTCTCTTTTTTTGAAATTTGAATGACCGATTCTGGCTGTTCAAAAAGAAAACTTTTGTCACAAATAATTTCTAAAATTCAAAGCCACTGAGACTATCAGCCACAGGTGCCGCTACCTCAGGTGAAAGGCTGTCGAAGTCCAGTGTTGAGATGCCCCTACACACCGGCCGTTCTAAATGATTTTTCGGCAACACTGCTCCTTTCATCTCCTTAAGAATAACCGAATGATACCCTTTCATATTATTTTTCTCGATATGTGAAAGAACCTCGCCTCGAGACGTCAGCGTGTGCGGTCTAGGCGGGGTTGTCCGCTTAGGAATGACAAACTCCTGAATGGATCCTGGCGTTGAAGGAACTCCGAGGCTGCTCAAGGAACTAATCGAACCGTGTCGACCGCTATGGGCCGACGACGTCGAAGAGAATCGGCTTCCGATCGTTTTCGGTGACTCGGCACTGTCTGTTTCCAGTAGTGAGAAAAGAGAAGAGTAGCTTGCTTTCTTTAATAGAGGGGAAATCCGATTTTCTGAGGAGCTTTGTTTTATCAAGCGCATGGCTCTTGTTGGCATAGTTGATACATACGTGTCGTCAAAGGCGTCGTCCTCCAGTGGATAATCGTCAATTTCCTCTTTAAACATGACGCCCCTAATAAATGAAAACAAAAAAGAGCTTGGTGGGTATATAGATCTACACAATGAATGGCTGGTGTGCATCCATATTTATTAAAAAGAATGTTTTGAGAGACCAATACAGAGGCTCTCGTTGTTTAAATGATATCAGGCTTTCTTGAAAAACCTGTTCCCAAAACAAACCAACGCCTGACATTTAACATTTATTTTTATAGAAAAAGCAACCTTTCAAATTGTTCGCTTACTGCTTATCTATTTCTTTAAGGAAAAGGAATGAAAGATTAGTTGGTGAGTAGTTTTGATCAGTTTGTAAAGGCAAGAAATACAGTGCAACCTTTTCAGAGCAAAAACCATTGAAGGCTTGTTGTTGATAAGAAATTTAAAGCACTTGAGATCCTAAATTTATCGTTAAGTCTTATTTTGGGAAGGAATGAAACTGGTTTCTGTAAAGGGGTTAATACTCTGTAGAGGGTCACTCTACAGCGGTTGTACTGAACTGTCATATACGTTTCACATGGGTGCAAGTTAAAAAATATTTTGAAAACCTGAAAATCATTGATTTAATATCATTTCAATTGATTTTATATAGAAAAGGAGAGCTTTCAACGGTGAACTTGAAAATGCATGAAAAGTTGTACCCATGAGTTTCAAAGCTGTTAAAGACACACATTCTAATTCAGACTAAAGCTTGTTATTTGGGAAAGAAGTAAATTAGTTTCGCTCATTGGTTATGAAGGCGAAAATAAGAATGAGCGAGTGAACAGTTTTCTTTCAAAAAAGCGCTGTTTATATATTTACCAATGTTTAAAGGCACTCCACTGAGTTTTTTTGACATGACGAAACTGGAAATAATTTTTCGAGATTAATCCTCAGTTTGATGTAGGTGTAGATAAGTAACTTGTGTGCAAAATTTTAGATTATTCGCTCTTGTGGTTTATCCAGGATAATTATTCAAATTGTGAAAAATGACCCAAAATTGAAAAGCGTTAAAACGCTTTTCTTTCAAATCGTATCAAAAATAGCACAAAATTACTATTTTTAATTCATTTTTGAGTATATTTCTGAATTATTTTTTTGCATGTCTTCCTGTTTTACGTGCCCCAGCTGATCTGTTTATTTTTTTTTATGATTTTAGGTTTTTGAACCTCAGTGGAGTTCCTTTAAGATAAATTAAAAAATGTAACATACCTTCAAGTATTGACATGAACTTAAGCCTTGTCCAGAAATATCGTGAATTTATTGACTCCAGACTTTTATAGTCGTAGCTCATTCCTGTGACTTTCTGTCGAAGAATGTGCTAATTTCTTTTCAACAACTACATGTATAAAATTAGCGTACTATATATTTATATATATTTATCGTATCAGAAAACCTTAAAATCTTTCAGAATTTAAATTGAGATATATATGTACATGTATCTGTCAAATTCCTTTAATTGCCAGCCAGTCTACAGATTTTGTGTTGTTGTTTTTTTGTTGTTGTTGTTTTGTTTTGTGCCGCAAAAATGTGTTTGTTAAAAAGTCTGACAGTAAAAGTTATAAAATATAACCCTTAACCGGGTGGAGCAGGAAATGATGAGCTTTTGTAACCAATAAAGAGCCACGTGCAAAGTAAAAGATCCGGATCAGGATCAAATGATCCTGATTTTGTCTTCATTGTTTTATTCATGTAGTATCCAGGCCGGAATATCATCAAGGATGCTAAGTTGAGCTTCTTAGGTCTTAAAATTTCTTCTACCCATTTATAATTTAAAATTGATAGTATTTTGGTTACAATTTTGCAATAATTAAATTGTACATATTCTAAATTTAAAAAAGTAAAAAAACAAATTTATGGGATAAAACCGACGGGTAAGAAAAATTCACCACCTACCCAGTAATGTGCATCTATCTACCTCAGGGAGACAATCATGATTCCTTGATGCGTAGTTATTTCCCTTAGACTATCACAGAAAACATAAAATCCGTCAAAATAATGCATCTTTTTTTAACCAGTTTACAAGACAAATTATTATTTTTGCTATTTTGTTGTGTCCCTATGGGGGTAATTGCACCTTTTCACATAAATCAGCTTGACACTTTCGACATAAAAACATTTTATGCCCAGCATATATCAACAGTTAACTATTTATTTTTCATCATAAATCAGCAATAAAAGTTGTCAGTTATCGAACATGGATCAGCGGTCTTGTTGTTAAGGTGTCTGCCCGTAAAGCCTCGGACCCTGTATTCAAGCCTCACTACATGGGAACACATTCATACCAAAAGTGAACTAAAAGCAGTGATTCTTATGATACATTTATACGAAAGACAGGTAGGGCCATTTCAACTTTATGAATTCCCCATTTCATCTTTATGAATTCACAATTTAAACTTCGTGAATTCCCGTCTTCAACATACGGAATTCGTTGAAATCATCGTGAAGTTGGAATGTCCCCACTGGCCTTTGGTATACATTGTATATGAGTATATTCTTTCCCCACTATCAATTTTGAAAAATATTTCAATTTTTCAGTAATAGCAGTAAAGAAGAATTTATTGAAACGCAATGTATTTGATACAAACTTAAGAGTGTGCAAAATGTATTTGGATTGTAACATTTTTTACTATTTTTCTTTTTATACAGAATTCATTTTAGTTATCTTGTGTAGGTAACTATCAGTTTATAGATTAACACTGGATCTGTTCCTGGGAGCAATGATTATTACATTATATTACAACAGATATTCATAGTACAGTAAAACCTGAGAAAAACTGGAATCCTCTGAAAACCAGACGATTTTAAAAGACCCGTATTTTCTCATTATAAGTTCATTGAAAAAAATCATCTAAATACCGGAACCTCCGAATTCCGAACACATCATAATTATCAATAAATGAATTAAAACCGCTTCAAACCGGCATCATCTGAAAACCTGACTTTTGGTAAAGTCTGTACAGGGTCCAGTTTTCAGAGTTTTTACTGTACTTATATTGTTGATAACAAAAACAGTACTGTTGCAAAATAATAATTTTATTCATACACAATTTGATACAGAAATAAACACAATGACAAGATGAACAATGCTGTCAGATGATTTGATGAATGTATGAAAATATTACAAAACTGATATCAATGTTTATGCCTTTTAAATCTGGAATTAACTGATTTTCTTAAAGCACATAGTTATGATTTTTTCTTAACCCTTAACCTGCTGAATTTCTTAAATGGGCTAGTCCCACTTGTGACTTGTATTTTTTTTAACTGTCCATCATCAATATTTGTTCATTGGGTTAAATGTCGCACCAATACAGTATAGACTATATGGTGACTTTCCAGCTTTACTGGTGGAGGAAGAGCTCAGGTGTCCCTCTGTACATTATTTCAGGCACAAACAGGCACCCGAGGAGAACCACTGACGTTCTGTAGGCTAGATGGATAGTTTTCTTGCATGAAGAATACGAAGACCCTAGCGTGACTCAAACCTAAAGCAGTGAGAAGCAAGTGGTTTGAAATCAACGACCTTAACCACTTGGCCACGAAGTCCACCATTATTTATATGAATCAGGACGAAAGTCTTAAGTCCGTCAACAAACAGTATAAATCCTAGTCAATCTGAGGCTTGCCTGCCTCTATACTGGTGACAAAGCCTTATCACTTTTGGTTCCAGCAGAGTACCGGTTAAAGCAGGAATGCATACATGTAACATAATATTTTACTCTCTCCTTTGAAATTCTTTTAGACACACAACCTGTATCTGTCATCAGGAGTCTATATACAAGAATATGTGATGGTAAAGTTACATTTCTTAAATGAAGGTACTAGTGAACTAACTTACAAACTAGTACTATATTGGTTCAGATCTTAAACTTGTGCTTCTTGAAGGAATAAGCCATTTTTCTTACAACAAAAATAGATAAAAACACCAACAGACATACAACAAGAGGGCCATGATGGCCCTGAGGTCGCTCACCTGTATATAGCCCCCACCCCCCCAACCCATAAGAAGATGTTTCATGCTAAACATCTAAGCTCTAGCTCATTGGGCTTTTTAAAAGAAGATTTTTTAAAGTTTTTACTATACACATATAGTTAAAAACAATGACACCCCTGGGGCTGGGCCAATTTTGACCCCTGGGCTTTTATTTGAACAAACTTTGTAGACACTTACTAGAAGATGTTTCATGCTCAATATCTAAACTCTAGCTATTTGGGTTTTTTCAAAGAAGATTTTAAGTTTTTGCTATACACATATTAGGAAAATCAATGACCCACGGGGCGGGGCCAATTTTGACCCCAGGGCTTTTATTTGAACAAACTTTGTAGACACTCACTAGAAGATGTTTCATGCTTAATATCTTAACTCTAGCTATTTGGGTTTTTTCAAAGAAGATTTTTTAAGTTTTTGCTATACACATATAAGGAAAATCAATGACCCCCGGGGCGGGGCCAATTTTGACCCCAGGGCTTTTATTTGAACAAACTTGGTAGACACCTATTAGAACATGTTTGATGCTAAATATCTTAGCTCTAGCTCTTTGAGTTCTTTAAAGGAAGATTTTTTAAGTTTTTACTACATACATATAGGGAGAATCAATGACCCCCTGAGGCGGGGCCAATTTTGACCCCAGGGCTTTTATTTGAACAAACTTGGTGGACACTCATAAGAAGATGTTTCATGCTAAACATCTAAGCTCTAGCTCATTGGGCTTTTTAAAAGAAGATTTTTTTTTAAGTTTTTACTATACACATATAGTTAAAAACAATGACACCCCTGGGGCGGGGCCAGTTTTGACCCCAGGGCTTTTATTTGAACAAAATTTGTAGACACTTACTAGAAGATGTTTCATGCTTAATATCTAAACTCTAGCTATTTGGGTTTTTTCAAAGAAGATTTTAAGTTTTTGCTATACACATATAAGGAAAATCAATGACCCCCGGGGCCGGGCCAATTTTGACCCCAGGTCTTTTATTTGAACAAACTTTGTAGACACTCAATAGAAGATGTTTCATGCTTAATATCTAAACACTCGCTATTTGGGTTTTTTCAAAGAAGATTTTTTAAGTTTTTGCTATACACATATTAGGAAATTCAATGACCCCTGGGGCGGGGCCAATTTTGACCCCAGGGCTTTTATTTTAACAAACTTGGTAGACACCTATTAGAACATGTTTGATGCTAAATATCTTAGCTCTAGCTCTTTGAGTTTTTTAAAAGAAGATTTTTAAAGTTTTTACTATATGCATACAGGGAAAATCAATGCCCCCCTGGGGCGGGACCAATTTTGACCCCAGGGCTTAATTTGAACAAACTTGGTAGACACTCATTAGAACATGTTTCATGCTAAATATCTTAGTTCTAGCTCTTTGGGTTCTTTACAGAAGATTTTTTAAGTTTTTACTATTTGGGTTCTTTACAGAAGAGTTTTAAGTTTTTACTATATGCATATAGGGAAAATCAATGACCACCTGGGGCGGGGCCAATTTTGACCCCAGGGCTTTTATTTGAACAAACTTGGTAGACACTCACTAGAAGATGTTTCATGCCAAATATCTAAGCTCTAGCTCTTAGGGTTTTTTAAAAGAAGATATTTAACAGTTTTTTCTTTCGGTTGCCATGGCAACCAGAGTTCTGCATGGAATTAAATTTTTTGAAATTTTTTTAAAGGTGACCACCAAAGGAACATTCCTGTGAAGTTTGGATGAAATTGGCCTAGTGGTTTATGAGGAGATGTCATTTAAAGTAAAAGTTTACGGACGACGGACAGACGGACGACGGACGCAAAGCGATCACAAAAGCTCACCCTGTCACTTTGTGACAGGTGAGCTAAAAATGGACACATGAATGAAGTGTAAAGAAACAAATTTTAAACATACTTAAACTTATGTTTTTAATGATCTGTAATCTGTGATAGGAAATGAGAAAATTTACTTCTTACTTGTACATTGTACATTTCAGGGACAGACCCTCTATTTCCCGGACAATCCCTCCATTTTGGGACAATCCCAAATGTATGGGACCATATGGCATGATAAATTTCATCAAAAAAATTAACTTTGATTTGAAAAGTATCTTCAAATGATAGTTAGACCATAATTTTACACAACACAGTTAACAATCACTAGAGTAGAAAATTTTAATTGTTTTAAACTGGTTCTTTGATAAAACAACCTATTTAACAATGTCACTGTTGAAATCGGTCCGTAAATTTAGAGATTGAAACGTTCATAATTGTCTCTGCAGTGTCAGCCATGTCATCTCTTGCTGCTAGATGTGCCCAGTCGCAAACTTTTCTCCAGTTCAAATTGTCTTTGGTCAGTTCTTGATAGAAAATTCATCCTCTCTATGTAACTGTAAAAAAATGAAAAGAAACTTAATTCAAGTTAATACATGTTATTGTTTGAGTTTCTACAAACAAGTGAGGAATGGATTTGACATGTATCAGTTGCAAGAACTTGTTTTATAATTGAGGTGAATTTCAAAATATACACTGTTATAATGTTACTAATAATAATTTGTAATAGTTTTTACACAGGCAAATTAATGTAAAAAATATTATGATCTTATGAACTCTAATCATGCTAAAATGACATTTTTAAAGTCCTAGCATGAATTTCTGTATGAATTCTATTTATTTTTGGTTTGAAGCGTAAATTATCTATTATATTGAACGAAACGAGACGCCCACAGAATCACCGAGTAGTTTTAAAACAAGTCATGTGACTTGAAATAACCCTGGATATTGTATGATTGAAATAAGTTTAAGTCATTCATTTGACATGTTCTTTAACGTTTCCAGAGTTCACTGTGACAACTATTGTAAAATCCTAATGCTCAAACCAGACCTGCGTGGGTCAAGTTAGGAAACCATCATTTTATTCTTTATAATGAGAAATGTTTAATTCCTGTGACGGCCTAGTGTATTCATTTTAAGGGCATTTACAGAATAATGAATGAAAAATTCAAAACAACAAGAGGGCCATGATGGCCCTGAGGTCGCTCACCTGTATATAGGCCCCCCCAACCTCCCCCCCCAAACGTTGCAGGGCCAATTAAACCAAAGGGCTTTTATTTGCACAAACTTGGTAGACGCCCATAAGAAGATGTTTCATGCTAAACATCTAAGCTCTAGCTCATTGGGCTATTTAAAAGAAGATTTTTTAAAGTTTTTACTATACACATATAGTTAAAAACAATGACACCCCTGGGGCCGGGCCAGTTATGACCCCAGGGTTTTTATTTGAACAAACTTTGTAGACACTTACTAGAATATGTTTCATGCTGAATATCTAAACTCTAGCTATTTGGGTTTTTTCAAAGAAGATTTTAAGTTTTTGCTATACACATATAAGGAAAATCAATGACCCCGGGGCGGGGCCAATTTTGACCCAAGGTCTTTTATTTGAACAAACTTTGTAGACACTCACTAAAAGATGTTTCATGCTTAATATCTTAACTCTAGCTACTTGGGTTTTTTCAAAAAAGATTTTTTAAGTTTTTGCTATACACATATAAGGAAAATCAATGACCCCCGGGGCGGGGCCAATTTTGACCCCAGGGCTTTTATTTGAACAAACTTGGTAGACACCTATTACAACATGTTTGATGCTAAATATCTTAACCATAGCTCTTTGAGTTCTTTAAAAGAAGATTTTTTAAGTTTTTACTATATGCATATATAGGGAAAATCAATGACCCCCGGGGCGGGGTCAATTTTGACCCTAGGGCTTTTATTCGAACAAATTTGGTAGACACTTATTAGAACATGTTTCATGCTAAATATCTTAGCTCTAACTCTTTTGGTTCTTTAATAGGAGATTTTTTAAGTTTTTACTATATGCATATAGGGAAAATCAATGACCCCCTGGGGCGGGGCCAATTTTGACCCCAGGGCTTTTCTTTGAACAAACTTGGTAGACACCTATTAGAACATGTTTGATGCTCAATATCTTAGCCATAGCTCTTTGAGTTCTTTAAAAGAAGATTTTTTAAGTTTTTACTATATGCATATAGGGAAAATCAATGACCCCCCGGGGCGGGGCCAATTTTGACCCCAGGGCTTTTATTTGAACAAACTTGGTAGACACTCACTAGAAGATGTTTCATGCCAAATATCTAAGCTCTAGCTCTTATGGTTTTTAAAAAGAAGATTTTTAAAGTTTTTTCTTTTGGTTGCCATGGTAACCAGAGTTCTGCATGGAATTAAATTTTTTGAACAATTTTTAAAGGTGACCACCAAAGGAACATTCCTGTGAAGTTTGGATGAAATTGGCCTTGTGGTTTATGAGGAGATGTCATTTAAAGTAAAAGTTTACGGACGACGGACGGACGCCGGACGCCGGACGAAAAGCGATCACAAAAGCTCCCTCTGTCACTTTGTGACAGGTGAGCTAAAAAGATGAACATTTTGCCTGTGTCTCCCTTTTACAGCAGCAACAAAAGTTTCTCAATCTTAAGACTTTATCAAAACTTAAATAAAATGAGAGGTATAAAATTGATTAAAACATTCAAACACTTATGAATATTTGCTTATATCAACAAAGAAGGCCTGAAGTATGCAACTTCACAACACACTCCTTCCCCACCCCATTCCTTAAAGTTGTGATGCAGAGACTTTTTTTGCTCCTGAATCCCAGATATCCCTCACCTTTCGTTCCATTTCTATTGGCTGATTAATCAGATTTTTATTGGCTCATTAATCGTTCACTATAAATAATAATATTTAAAGGTCCTCAGTGCTTGTACTTTTTCATAAATATACAGTATGCTCAACATTGAGTAAATCATTTTTATCTTGGAAATTTATTTCAATCTATGAAATTCTTACTAAATATGTCTAATTTATATAAAATAATGTACAAACTATGTATGGGGAGCTGCATTCTATATCAACAGTCAAATATAGTTGGTCCTTTCTAAAAAAAACTGCCAGGTTCCTTTTGGTTTTCTTTTAATGACACATATGCCAAAGAGACTGTGTGGCATTTATTAATATATTCAAATATCAAATTTGAGCATTTTTCATCTTTATATATAACATATGTATCAATGAACAAACAAAACTAGAAATGTGTCCATAGGACACGGATGCCCCCACACACCACTGTTCTGTCAATCTTATGACTCTAGGTCAAATATTTTTTTGACTACATGTGCCACAAGTTGAAAACTAAAAATCAACAAAGGGCCATAATTCTGTTAAATTTGGTCGCAGCAAAAATTCCTTCCTTTACTACCATCTACACATTAAGGTTGTTCATCCCTGCAAGTGTAAGCAAAATCTGCCATCCTGTTTAAAAGGAGTTGCGTTCACAAAATTTCTACATAGTATTTAGTGAAAAAATCAACAAAGGACCATAATTCTGTAAAATTTGGTCGCAGCAAAAATTCCTCCCTTTACTACCATCTACACCTTAAGGTTGTTCATCCCTGTAAGTTTAAGCAAAATCTGCCATCCGGTTTAAGAGGAGTTGCGTTCACAAAATTTCTACATAGTATATAGTGAAAAAATCAACAAAGGGCCATAATTCTGTTAAATTTGGTCGCAGCAAAAATTCCTTCCTTTACTACCATCTACACACTAAGGTTGTTCATCCCTGTAAGTTTAAGCAAAATCTGCCATCCGGTTTAAGAGGAGTTACGTTCACAAAATTTCTACACGTTCACAAGATTTCGGGACGTACGGACGGACGGACAAGTGCAACGCTATATGCTCCCACATTGTGGGGGCATAATGATTACAAAATTATTCAAATCAAGTAACAATTACCTTTGTTTTCCTCTATTATGTATTTTCAGCTCCTCATCAATTCCTTCTTTTTCTTTAAAGTCCTCCCAATCTAGTTTGGATTTCTCCTACACAAATGTTGAAAAAAGCTGCATGTATATATGGATAAACCAGAACACTATCATTCTGTTGGGTAAAAGATAATGATTGTTTTTTTTTTCTTTGGTCTGTACTGTTAGGTACTTTCATGGTCTCATCAAAGTTATAAGGGTAATTAAGAACTAAAGAAATAGCAGATAAATCTTCTCTTGCGAGAAAGCCTTGTTGTTATTTGACACCATCAGATGTTAACTAAAGGCATTCCACTTTAAGATTCCTGTTACTCAACCTTTAATTTGACCTTTCTAATGCTAGGATCAAGACTTACCTGAACCTATGCTACAACTAGAGTCAGGCCAGCCTGTACTACTGAGTAGTATGACCAGTTTCTATATTGTTGCAGGAATTACTCAGGTACCCCTCTATACATTATTTCAGGCACAAGCAGGCAGCTGAGTAGTTTACCTTATACTAAATTTATTTTAGTTCCAGTGTGTAGGGAGCTATTAGCTTAAAGGCAGGACTCTTGTACTGAGCAGTAAGTGTAAAGTTTCCTTCGTAAGGAAAACAATGGCTTGCTAAGGATAGGGTTATGAACCCATGTGGCTATTTTGTAAACCACTCGGCCATGCAGTCAGTATAGACTGCTGATTTGAACCACTGACTTTCGTAACCTTTATTCCTGTTTTAATTTACAGGTAAGTGTGTGTTTGGCCTTTTTTAATTAAAGTTGTTTTTTTCACCTAAGAGTAGATCTCACTTGTCATTAAAAAATACAGATATTAATAAAATGGTTTTCATTCTTACCAATGTCCCCAGTTTTGGCTTTTTATTTATTTTTTCCAGTACACCTCCAAGTCCCCCACCAGGTCTCTTTATCCCTCTGAAAGAAAAAAGTAAAAGCAGAACATGTGATTAACTATCTTAAGATAAGATTCATTATAAGAAATGAAACTATTTTACAGTAAAAATACAGCATGCTCATTGACTGGCTTTATTTTTTCTGATTTTAATTTAATATGATGACAGGGAAAGGGATTATGATAGAAAAACTATATTCAGATGCTCACACATTGGTTCATTTATTCTGGGGTTTCATACTGAGACAACAGGGAAAGAGTTTTTATTTTTGCCTATGAAACAAATAAGAAAGAACATCCTAACACTAGCCAATCTGATTTATACTTTGGGGCTATGTCCCCTGAAACAAATCAGATATTCTCCTATTTCAATGCTCTACCTATTGCAAGGAAAGCTATTCAGGGCAGATACAATTATATTTTTGGACATCAGTCACTTACAAAGGAGTAGTTTTAACAGGTTTCTCGTCAGCCTGAGGCTCATCTTCCTGGCAGTTCTGCTTCTTTAATTCTGCTTTACCTTCCTTAGAGTTAACATCTATTTCTTTTGTAACTCTGAAAAAACAATAATACATTACAATCTTGATTCTTTTACAGTATTTTAAAGGATAAATATCGAAGTTGACGGTAAAACTGCAATAACTTTTATTAAATAAAGAATGACTTACAACAGTTTTGCAGCTATCCATTGATATACAATGTATGCGATACAAATATCTTCATGGTAAGTATATTCATTCAAAATAAAATTGTTCAACACTGTATATCATTGTACAGAACTGAAACTGGAAAGAAAATGTATGACCAGACTGGAACTTAAACCTAGGACCCTCAGAATACTGCTACACAGCTCTAATGCTTGAGTCACAAGTCTCAAATTTTCCCCTTTAAGCAAACAATTTTCATTCATGGCATATAAGGCTTGAATTGATAGTTTGATTGTCTACAGGCTCTAATCATTACATTAAGTTATGTTCAACCTTGGAAAAATGTGTATAACTAATGGATAAATGACACCGCATTTGTTTTAACAGAACAAAATACTCGAAATATGAATTAGTACAGCCTAAATCAAAGAAGAGTTATAAAATCCTTAAGCATATTTTCAACTAGATACATCTGACAGGCTTACAGCAAATACATGAAATATTACCAATTGCTACAGCTTTCTTATATTTGAACATTACTTTCAGCATTTACTTAATTGGAACATTTCTCATCAAAATTTAAATTGAATCCTTTCCATTAAAAGAAGGTTAAAAAGGTAAATGAAAAAAACAGAAAAAAAGTTCCAAATGGCTTATATAATGATGGAAGTCTACAGTACCACAGCCACATGAAATTTTCTTCTTTTTCTATTGAAGTTAAATTTTCCAATTTATTAATTTTCCTGCCATTCTATTACCCAACATCACATATCCACAATAATATATTGTGAGTAAAATTTATAAGACTGCTTAAGCTGGTGCTACTAGGTGTGAAAGATGTAGAATTTTCCACTATCTCTCATGAACAGACTGAATCAAACCAAGTCTCAAATTTTTCAGTTTTTTACTATTGTTTTCACTGCTCTCGAAGTTATCTCCCCTTTTCCATATTTTTATCCACCAATTAGGTTGTCAAAGTATGAGTAAACAAGTGAGACTAAAAAAAGTGTTGGGAGTACCACACTCAATGCTGTATTCTGGTATATACCGGACAAGGCGCTTGAATGTTTAAATGATAAAATCTCGCCTTTTCACCCGCTGAAATTCACTTGATCTCTTCACACTGATTTTTACACGATCATGAATGAAAAATGTAAAAATTTGAAAAAAAATATGACATTTTTCTATTTTGTGATCATGATTTCTTCAAGCATCTAGAGGTACTGCCCCAACACTGTAGAGAGTTGAATCTTAATCAAACTATCAAAGAAAAAGAGAATTTTAACTAAACAAATAGGGTCATAAACCTACAAAGGGTAAGCAGGCATGTGAGTCTGTGCAGTCTGACAGGCTTTTTTACTACTTACCGGTAAGGGGAGCATTGGCCTAGTGGTTAAGGTGTCTGCCTCTCAACCCTGGAATCATGGGTTCCGTTTAATTAATTCAGCAAAGGTAAACCCTTAACCTCAAGCAAATTAGAAATGCAAAGATGAATAAAAAGGTCATGACCTCACTTACTTTACTGATTCACCAGCAAAATCATAAACTTTGGTAACTGTAATTGTGGATTTTTGTGATGTTGCTGGGCTAGGTTTTGCAGCTTCTACCACAGTTTTTGTTTCAGTAGCAGCTCCTTTGTTTGGGGTCGTCTGGAAAAATTAAATTCTCACTTTTTTCAAACATTTTCAAAATATATTTACTATTCACAAAAATATTTTTGAGCCAATTTTACTTAAAATATAGTTATCCCTCAAAAGCAAATCATTTTTTTTCCCTATTTTTATTTTAAGTAATGAAATTTTTGATTTTCTTTAAAAACAACACTGAAAGAGCTTTGTAGCATTCAAATTCAATAGCTGTAACTCATTTCTACTAATTTTATATAGCATTACACATCATTCAATACTCATATTTCAAAAACTAAAAAAAAAAACTTTCAATTTCACAAGAAATATTAAAGGAATGCCTCACAATTGAATTTTACCTTGCCAATAGAACTTGACAGCGTTCCTAATCCAGTTGAGGCAACAGGCTTCTTCTCTGGTCTTTTTCCAACATCTGACATAAAACTGGACCACAAATCATCGGCTCTCTTCTTCTCCTGCTCTTTCTTCTTCTCCTCTTGTTCTAATTTGATCTGTTCAGCTAAATCTTTATTAGTGTTGTCCTCTTCCACAACTGTCTCATTATCTAGCTTTATACCACCAACTCTCTTCCTATATCAACACAAAACTACATCTTATAGACACAGGGCTTTGTTTTCACACTTTGAGAAAGCGGTCCTTCCCCTGAATTCGGGGGATAATAATGTGGTCTTTTTTTTGTAAAAGGGGAAGAAAAAACATGATGTTAAGTAAAGTTTTGGGGAAAACTGCATGATTTTAAAGAATTTTTCTTTTGGGAAGCCACCCTTAAATAATCCCTACTATAGAAGGAAAAGAAAGCAATGAGATAGTTCCCAATTTTTACAATATTTATCTCCATTGCCAAAAGTGGCAGCCACTAAGGGGGTCAATATTCTTTATTCTAACACAATCCGCATTTTTCCCTTCCATTTTGAACATGGAAGAACCGAAAGTGTGTGTTATTTCAGAAATAATATATCCCAAATTGTGATTTTATCGCTTGATAAAATCACAGTTTGTCGTTCGGATGCGCATCATTATATCACTTGGGCTACGCCTTCGTGATATCATTTCTTGCATCCAACTCCAAACAGTGATTTTATTAATCGATCCAAATCACCAATTTGGGTATATTATTTTGAATCTAACATGACAATAACAAAATTAATGCTGCCATACCTTATATTAAGTTAAACTGCGCCTGATTTGTTTCCGTACTTATTTTCAGCGTGTTGCATTTTTAGTAACGTCACATGTATAATGATTACATCATATGTCTAATAACAGAAGTTGAACGTCAACAGTGATTTTTGCATATTCTAACATGACCCGCATTTTTCCCTATTGAACATAGACAAACCAAAAGTGTGTGTTTATTTAAAATTTACAGATTTTTATCAAAGCTCAACCCGCTAAATCAACCATTAGTACCTGCCCTTTATCATGTATCCCCTGCCCTTTTTTCAGGCTAGATACAACACTAGTTACATACAACTTGAGATTGCTTTGATAATTCTGGTTAAGTATAGGACCTTCATTCATGTCATTAAAGAACAAAATGTACAGTAGTCTTGAGAAGAAACTGTAGCAAAGGCAAAATGTACAATTTGATAATGCAAGTATATATATGAAAATGACCTTGACATTGTCTGCTTTTGTTTAACTGGTTTCCGCTTTCGTTTGCCTGTACTGACTGGTTCCCCATCCTCTTTTAAAGCATCAAGATTTTCTTCCTCCCCAGAATTCTCTTCCTCCGACACTGCTTCGCCATCTAAAATACAGATTAAACCCTTAAATTATCCTGCTGAATTTGACAGAGGTTTTTCCTGTTTGTCAATAATTATGAACATTTCTCTTCTGTTTCATAAGATAATATGGAATTAGGCAAAGCCTATGAACTGGGAAGTCGGTTAAAATAATTGTTTGCTTTTTATTTTACATTTTTTGTTTTAAAGGGGTCATTCCATATTCACTTGGAACACCTCGCCAATTATAATTAAACCGAAAAGTTGCCTTTGTTTTTTTTTTTATCGGAATACCTCGCCTATTATCAGTAACTTACATTAAAAATGATGGCGCCAAACTAGATACAATGTATGTCATTGAAGATTTCACTGATATTAATAGAAATCTATAAAAAGTTTAAACTGTTTTTTATTTTATTGTCTTTTAAATATATACATGTGTAGATTATAGCTGGGCAAGTCAAAGTCCTTTGCAGACACGGCCTTTGACATCCCCGTACTATGATAATTTAAAATTGAGACTAAAAAAGTTTTGGAGTACCACACTAAATACCTTTGCCAGATATATACCGGACCACAGGTGTTCAGCGTGTGATACCAGCATTTTTTCCTCTACTTTGGGAATGGTGCCGGTACCAGACTGATTGGGAAAAAAATGTGTTATTTTGACTTAAATTAGGATTTTTTAATGCATTTTTTCAGCTACAAATAAGATTAGTTATCATGAATAAAGACGGCTAACAGCTTCCACAGTCCAGGTAGAACTAGTGAGTGGTGATTTATATGAATATGTCACAGGCGCTAGTCACATAATCAAATATTTTTCATAATCGGCCTATATAATTATGTTTATAAATATCTTTTTTAACATATATAGGAATATGTTGGATTTAAATGATTTCAGAGAAATCACTTGGCCTTGTGGGAAATTTGAACAGCCAATTTGGGAATTTAAACATTGGAAATTGGGAATTTTAATGTCTTATTTCTATTGGGAACAGTATCTTTTTAGGGTAGTAGTTTATATAAAGAAAAAAGAACACTGGATACATATCATGATGAAAACCAATATAATTTGAGCCGCGCCACGACAAAACCAACATAGTGTGTTTGCGACCAGCATGGATCCAGACCAGCATGCGCATCCACGCTGTCTGATCAGGATCCATGCTGTTCGCTTACAAACCCTATGACAAGTAGAGAAACTGATAACAAACAGCATGAATCCTGATCAGACTGCACGGATGCGCAGGCTGGTCTGGATCCATGCTGGTCGCAAACGCACTATGTTGGTTTTGTCGTGATGCGGCTCAATCGTCCTAAAGGAGGTGTCTGATATATTTAGAGGCTCTGGTTCTCACATCAAGTTCAAATATTGCTGCAAATCAGTTTTCACTGTTTACAGCTATCAATATTGAAACAAAAAATATTTACACAGGATCTTGTTGAATAGGAAAACCATAACTTTTTGTCTTCTCCAGCCTAGAGAGTTAAATAGTGCTACCTTGTCTCGTTTAATATTATATACCCCAGTATTTTTTTAAGACATGATATGTGTTGTAAACATAGACAATATGGTTGTATATAAATGTTTTTCATCATGTTTGTAAGTGTCACACGCCAAACACCTTTGCACTGTACAAGGTACTTGAAAGAAGATTAAATGCTAAAATCTCACCTTTTAACCTGCTGAAATGTACTTTAAGGCATCTAATTCATCTGTTCACATAAAGGATAATGACTTAAAAATGTAAGATTGACCTTTTGGAAAACCCAACTACCCAACTTACACTGTTTTCCTGTATGTCACTGATTTAGCTCTGGGGAATTACACCAAATGAAGTACTGTACATACACTAACACTATTAAATGATATTGTGGTGCCCAGACCCCTGCTTAGTGTTTCCAGGGCAGTCTGCAGCCTCACATTAACCCAGGGTTCGTTTTACACGGCCCAAGTACCAAATTATAAATGACACATAAGACATTTTGTAACTTAAAACTCTTTTAATTAAAATATTATATAGATCAATTTATTTACATATACATAGTCATGGATGCCTAGAGTCTCTTATTATTATTCCTATGGATGACCAGATTTCAGTAAACAAGTACCAGGTTTGGTAAAAATATAATGAGATACCAGATCTGGTAGTTACCAGATTGGGTACTATACCGGATTGGTATTATACCAGATTTGGTATGAACCATTTCTGGAACAACCGTTCTCTCTACACTGGCAAAGTAATTATAACTGTTTAACAATAACAACAAGGATGAATTTCACCTGTATCCGATCCATTTTCCGGTTATTTATTCGTCTACAATTATCTACTCAATAGAGTACTTTTCTACCAGACGACCTGATATGAGATGACAACGATATGCTAACGCGCAGTATTTATAGTACCCTGTGACGTCATCACATTAATATTCAAAATGGCCGGACCAGTGGCAAATTCAGAAATGTGACCAAATATTAAGCAAGATTACATGAAAATAAACGTATGTCAGCATTTAAGAATAGATAATAAACATTTATATATACAAATGGCATCTGAAAATCATAATAATATAAGATAAAAGCAGTTACATAGAAAGTAATCATCAAAACAATGCGATGGTTCGTACTCAGAAATATTCGTACTCAAAGTCGGAAAATAAATAAAAGTAATAAAGAACATTGATAAAATAGCCTGAGCATCACATTACCCCCACCTCTCAGGAATCGGTCCCCGATTAAGAAGTGTGGTAAGTTAATTTTTTACATATTTTTTTTAAGTTATTTAAAGGTACAAACATTGAATACTTATTATCATTATGCTTAATTGTCTTAATTGGTTACTGAAATACATGTAAATAATTAACAACAACAATTAATTAAGAGTTATGTTGTTCACTTGTAGATATAATCTTTTTATAACAATTTAACAATTCAAAATAACAATTTATTTACAATTAACAATAGGAAGTCTCTTTTAGGTTACAAGTATGACAGCAATTATGACTGTAGAACCAGTGCAGATGTCTATAAAAGATGTAAGTATACAGCCTTTAAATAATTGTTTTGTGTCAATGATTTAAAAATATCACTTTTACTTAACATGCGAATAGACTTCCATAACATATGAAACACAACTAAATAATAATAATTTTAAACATGTCTAAAAGTAAAACCTTATAACATTGTTTCATAATAGTACATGTATATTCCACCAAGATAATAATTAAAATGTCTTTACATATTTCTTAATATAAGAAAATTTGTAAGTCTCATCTGTTAAAATAAGCAATTATGTCACTTATAATGCACTAAGTGTTCATAAATTTTAATATTTAGTAACATTGCATTACAAAGTATAATGTCAAATGTTATATTAATAACACTAAATGTATACATGTATAGTTAATATAGATGTATTCTATTGCGTCAATTTATTTTACACAAAAACTTAATGTTCATTGTATTATTTTATTTTTTTTTTTAAAGTATTTCAGACACACTGAACTGGGCATGGCACAAAATCCTGTAGAATAATCACAAAATATGTATATTACGTAAGTATGAGTTTGTCTCACAAATAAAGTTAAGATAATTAATTCTTACGAAATTGATAACAGATTTCTTAATAAAATTTATGGCAAAATGTTTACTTTGAAATATTTGTTAACACTAAATTTAGCTGGAAACATTAAATGTGTATTTGTATAAAGTTTAATTAATCTTTTAAAGTCCACTGAAGATATCTGTAATACTGTCTTTAGTTTGTTCATCAGGCTGGTATTCTGTTTATCGGTAAATTCCTTTTGTCATATGTATTTCTTTTTTCTAAAAATTCCTTTTATCTTTCAATAATTATTTTCTAAATATTCCTTTGATTCTGTCTATATTTGACATTATAGGACTTTATTTATTCTTGTTTAAACATTTTCTTTTAAACTTATCCTTTTGTCACTGCACTGTTTTTCCAGCTTTGGGAGGTTGAAATATTTCGCCTCGAGTTGTAATGCAGCCAAACTTCCTCTGTCTGATGGTAAAAGATCTCTTGACAGGTTCATCACTCCTTGTTGACGGTATCTTAAATGATTTAAGACATATGGGAATAGTTCACTGTCCCTGTCAATGAACAATCATCTTTATTTATCACTACTTTGTCCATTATGCCTTTCACGTGGTATTTAAGTTGAAAATTTTCGTCTCTCCTACATTCAGTGTAACTATTTCCATCTTTAGTTTTTTCTTCTGTTTTCTTACTATGTCTTTCATCCTTGTCCTTTGCGTGTAGTCTCTTTTCTTCTACCCTTCCCTTTTCTTCCTTTTCTTTCTCTGCTTCCATGTTTCTCTTTTCTTTCTCAAGTCTAACTTCCTTCTCTTTTCTCTTTTTCTCCTCTGCTTCTTTTGTTTCTTTCTCTTTTCTTTCTTTCTCAAGTCTAAGTTCCCCCTCTTTTCTCTTTTTCTCCTCTGCTTCTTTTGTTTCTTTCTCTTTTCTTTCTTTCTCAAGTCTAATTTCCTCCTCTTTTCTCTTTTTCTCCTCTGCTTCTTTTGTTTCTTTCTCTTTTCTTTCTTTCTCAAGTTTAAGTTCCTCCTCTTTTCTCTTTTTCTCCTCTGCTTCTTTTCCTAAGCTTGCTTCATCTTCTTTTATTTCCCTTTCAATTCTGAGCCTCTCCTCTCTTTCTTGTCTCTCCTTTACCTCTGCTATCTCTCGCCTTTCTTTCTCTTTTCTAAATTTTTCCTGTTTCTCTTTTCTTTCATTTTCAATTCTTATTCTTTCCTCACCTTCTTTTCTTAATTTCTCTTCGTAACAAGGTTCCACAATTTGAAAGTCCTCCTCCAGATCAAGTAGATCCCTAACAGCAGTTACCGTTTCATCTTCTCTTGAGCTGGTACTACTTGATCTGGATGTGTCTGATGATTCAGAGCTACTGGAGCTAGAACTTTCCCTTCTTTTTTTCGTACATCTATTTTCTCTGCTTTGCGGCCTTCCCCTCTTTCTGTCGAATAATACCGGTCTTGTCTGTTTCCTTATCATATTATACCCTTGCCTTTTGTCTATTATCAAATCAGGAATTGTTAGTTTAAATCTTTCCATTATGTCATCAGCTTCTTTCACCTGTAGCCTGGACAAACCTAATATAATTTTCCTTTTTGTCGTGACAGGTATTTGCTTGCGGTGTGTTTCTATGATAGACCTTGCAACAGAATCGACACTTCCATGTCACACCAGAGTGCTGTTCTAGAATATGACTGTAACATCTGCTTCGGGTTGTAAAGGAGATATCTCCACAAATCTTACATTCAAAGGGTTTCTGAAGATAGACAAAATAAGTTTCCTAAGTATAAACTTCATTATCTTTATATTTATCCATTAATACACTTCGTGAATTTATATTTATCCATTTATACATTTCGTGAATGTACAATAATTACTTTTCAACAAGTTATGAAAGTAATTTCTTATCAAGTATTATTTATCATATCATGTATATAATAACATCATTATATAATCTTTTCATTTATAATAATCCATTGGTAAAGAATCATATAAAATTATCTTTTCAATTTAAATAAGACATTATCAACTGAATATGATATATCTCTATACAATGTAGCAAAAATTAGCAACAACAACAACAGAACAGTAACAATAAAACTAACGCAACAACAAACAGTCTATACTGTTGTGAATTATAGGTGTGCTATTTACACCTATTTGTTTAATTAATGTATGCTTTAAGCTTATCATGATGAACAACTCTAGGTCGTTCTCTCTGACTACCCTTTATTCGATATAAAATGTTGCTAACTTTTTTCAATTATTTGATATGGACCTTTCCACGGTCTGTTAATTTTCCACTTCTACCAAACTTTTCTCTGTGGGTTATAATACCAAACAGAATCACCTACTACATAAGAAGTTTGATTAGCATTTAAATCATAATTTCTTTTCATAGCATCACTTGAAATTTTTAATTTCTTTCTAGCAAAAAGAATGAATTTGATAAAGTTTTTCCTCTAATTTTCTTACATAATCACTGGCATACCTGTTTTCTTTTTCAGGATTGTCTACAAGAGGAGCTCCTATCAGTAGGTCAATTGGTAACCTCATCTGAGTTCCAAACATCATAGAGAATGGTGTGACACCAGTAGATTGATGTACAGCAGTGTGATGTGCCATCATGCAGAAAGGTACATACTTGTCCCAATCATCACCATTTTCAGAAACAAATGCCGTTAACATATTTAGGACACTTTTATTAGTTCTTTCTACAAAACCAGCCCCTTGAGGTCTAAAAGGTGTATTTCTTGTCTTTTTAATGTCAAACAGTTGACAGAGTTCTTTAAAAAGATTAGACTCAAACTGTGGACCTTGGTCTGTATGTATACTTAAAGGTATTCCAAATCTTTGAAAAATATTTGATATCAGTGCATCAGCTACAACTTGAGTTTCTATATTTGGTAATGGGATTGCTTCAGCCCATTTAGAGAAATAATCAGTTACTACCATTAAATATGAATTATTTCTTTCTGTTTTCCCTAAAGGACCTACAAAGTCTACCCCAATTCTTTCCCATCTTTCTCCGGTGACAAATTGTTTCATATACGCTTTTTGTTTCTGACGAGTCGGTTTTCTGGACTCGCACACAGTGCATTTTCTAATCCAGTCTTCAATATCTTTTCGTAAGCTATACCAGAAAAACCTTTGTCTAACCCTAAATATTGTTTTCTTCACACCTAAATGAGCTGATGTTGTTGAATTATGCATTTGTGTTAATACCTGTTTAATAAGGACTTTAGGAAGAATAATCTGATATTCTACTGAGTTATCTATGTCACTAACCCATTTTCTGTAAAGGATATCTTCTTTAATTATCAATGATTCCCACCTATACCAATAATACTTATATTCGGCATTATATTTAGATACCATATTCCAATTTGGTTTGTTTCCAGACAACACCCATTCGGACACTTGACCAATTACTGAATCTTCTCTTTGCAACTTGGCTAAGAGCTCTAAATTTAATTCATTAATATCAATGTCACTGTTGTCTTCAGAATTTTGTGTATGTTTGACTTCATTATCTGATTGTTTGGTGCTTGTTGATGGTTTATTTAGGTTTGTGTGTGAGCTATCCTTATTTTTGTTCAAGCAGACATTACTATCTTTATTGGACGGACCTGGTAAACATTCATGTGAAGTGTTACTGTCAGACTTGGCAGACCTGACCCCTATAGTTAACATTTCACTACTTTGACCTTGAGACTTGACAGGTTCTTTGCATCCTGTCCTATTAATTTCATTTTCAGTCAGCGAAGGTTTTCCATAATCTATTGTTGCGCCAGACATTGTTTGACTGACCACCATGCAACAATTCTTGGAAGCCTTATCTTGACAATTGAACTTACTATTATTTAGTATAGTAACTAAATCTGCACTTTTATCTCTGTCGGTACAGACATTAACACAAAAAGTTTTACATATATCCCTACTTGTCACATTTAGTAAAATAAGACAAAAAGCAACTGTAATAGAAATTGGAATTTGGGTAACTACCACTATTATTAAGATAAGACTTAATATTAACTTTTCAGTTGTGACTCTACTTTGATTATAATTAGTATTTACTGAGCTTTCACTAGCACTCGGTTTGTTTTCAAAGACAGGACAAACAGAAACATTTTCTGTACATAACACCTTTTTGTTAATTTGAACATGTTTATCTTCAATACGTTCACAATATGAACAACTTTTGTCATAACAGGGACGACGACTTAATGCGTCAGCATTACCATGTATTTTACCTGGTCTATGCTTTATTTCATAGTCATAATTTTCTAAAATGCTTACCCAACGACATAACTGACCCTCTAGTTGTTTAAAATTGGTAAGCCATCTTAGACTCGCATGATCTGTACGAATAGTGAATTTTCTTTTCCGTATAAATAATGATGGAAATGTTTATAACCGCAGTAACGACAGCCAGTAATTCTCTGCGTGTCACGCAAGTAGTTACGCTCGGATCTTGAGAAGCACTTAGAAAAATACGCGATTACTTTTTCTTCTCCGTCTTGTACTTGATGGAGCACCGCTCCCATACTTGAATTACTCGCGTCCGTATCAAGTATGAAATAATCATTTTGGGTAGGGAAAGCTAGTATAGGACTTGTTATCAAAGCTGTTTTCAAAGCTTGAAATGCATTTTCACATTCTATTGTCCATTCAAATCTCTTATCTTTTTCTGCTAAAGTATGTAAGGGTTTTGCTATGTTCGAAAATTGATAAATGTACTTTCGGTAAAATGAAACAAGTCCCAGGAAACTCTTAAACATCTCTAACATTTCTTGGTGTGGGCCATTCTTTAACACTTTGAACTTTTTCTGGACATGTGGAGGTCCCTTCTTCACTTACAACATGACCCAAAAATGTTACCTGCTTTTGAAAGAAATGGCATTTTCTAGGATTTAATTTTAAGTTTGCTTGCTTTAATCTCTGTAAAGCTTCTTCAAGGTGTTTTAAAGTATCTTCAAAAAGTCTTTGCAAATAAAATTATATCGTCTAGATACAAAACTAAAGTTTTCCAAATAAGACCCTTAAAAACCATTTGTACTAGTCGTGTGAATACACTTGGACTATTAGACAAACCAAATGCTAACTTTTTAAACTGCCATTGTTGACCACCTTGAAGACTAAAAGCTGTTTTCGGTCTACTCTCTTTATCAATGTCTACTTGCCAAAAACCTTTTGACAAGTCACAAGTACAAAACCATTTAGAACCTGATAAAGCGTCAAGATTATCTTCAATTCTTGGCAAGGGTTGGTATTCTTTTATTGTAACTTCATTCAATTTGCGAAAGTCACAACAGAAACGAACAGACTTGTCAGGTTTTGTAACCATAATGATAGGTGATAACCAGGGTGAGCAAGCTGGTTCGATTATCCCATCTTCAACCATTTTCTTTATTTCATTTTCAGCCACCTCTCTTTTTGCTAGAGGTATTCTGTAAGGATAGGTTTTGATAGGGGTACTGTTTCCAGTATCTATATGGTGTTCTACTAACGTTGTGTGACCTATATCTCTATCATTTTTAGAGAATACATCTTGATATCTTACTAAAATTTGCCTAAATTTAGCTTTTTCCTCACTATTTAAATGAATAGAGGACCTTTCAAAAAGATCATTTAAATGTAATGGTATTTCAGTATTGTTTGGACTTGCAACATGCTCTTTGCTACTGCATACACTGAATTTATTAGGTGAACTGTTCTCATTCACTGTCACAGACTCTAAATTACCCACAACTGTATTTTTATAAATTCTGCAAGGTTCTGAATTGAAATTAGCAATTCTAATAGGAAAATTACCTGTATTAGGATCTACTAAAGTTTTGGCTACCAGTAAACCAGATTTTTCTACAAAATTTGTATTGCCCTCTATTATAGCTGAACTATTCTTGTCTACTGCATCTAAAGGTTTACCCTCTAAAATTATTTCAGTTTCTGGAGGTATTTCTATTGTCTCAGCTACAACTATTCTACAACATGTGTTTTCATTATCCTTTTGGTGCATATAACATGGTATCTTATCCCCTTTTAAGGTTATATACTTTTTACTGAATATTATGTCACACTGATTTTGTAATAGAAAATCTACACCAAGTATACCACCTTGCTGTATTTCAGCAATTAAAAATGTATGTACAATACTATGTCTACCTTTTTTATAGCAATTTCTGTTTTTCCAAAAAATGGAGTTGACTCCCCTGTTACCGATATAAGTGAAGTTTGAACAGGATATATTACAGGTCTTTCTGAATATGGAAGCCTTTCTATTGTCTCTTTATTTAAAATGCTTACATTAGCCCCACTATCTACTAACATTGACACATGGTTACCATATAAAAATGCTGACAAAAAGTAACCATGATCTGATCCTAAATTATTTAATGCAATCTGGGACCTGCATTTCTTGTCAAGTTGTGGCCCCTCCAACTTGGCATTTGTTCGTTTCCCTGATTAAAATTTTGATTTCTTCTATTATCATACCCTGATTTTGGTTGGTTTTCATTAGATCTAGCATTATACCCAGGGCTCATCCGGAAGGGCGATTCAGGCGATAACTTCGCCGTGTATATTCCAATTTCGCTCTCCCGATTGATCAAAGAGAAGTCAACATCGCCGATAAATTCTTAATTCCCAAATATTAATTACTCAGCGATGTAAAGAGCAGAGATTGTATCCGCCCATATGACGACCGCTAATTATCATTATCCAATCAGAGCGTCGCTTTATACTACCCTTCTACCTGTAAGCAAAGCGATAGACCGCCTACTCTAAACAGTAAATAATGAGAGCATCGGCCCGAAACTGTATAATTGTGTGATAGTTACGGGATTTGGCGATTGTTTTTTCCCGATTATCTATACACGTGCAATCTTCCCTAATTGATATACACGATGCACTTCGATGGTGGGTTTTTAACCCGAGAAAAGGCGATGTGCAATGGATTTTTCACGGCTATCACAAAACTGTTAGTCAATTAAAAATAATCAATTTCATTAATGATCAGCGACAGGATTAAAAACTTAATCATAGTTTTGAATGATTTCAGTCTGTTAACATCATTTTTTACTGTAAAAGTGTTATGTCGCATACGTCATGGCTACAAGGCGAAATGCCGAAACCGAGCAACTTAAGAAAGTTACTGATTCTGATAGTTACACCTACGCGAAAATTTAAGAAAGCCAATTCGCAAAAACCTTGCGATTGGTATGTTGTAGACAGTGGGGGTGTTTGGCATTGTTCTCTTTGTAGAAATGCCAAATTTGACACAGTTTACGCACGTGGACACGACATCCGGGCTAAACTACATATGGTCGTATATCATGTAACGTATATAACAACAAAATTTGTCAGGAAAGAAGTGTTCTTTTTGTTTCAATATATATATTTGTTGTAATGTCGTAAATATGACGCTCAGATTAAGATTTATCAATATTGTAAATTTTAAAAAGCATTATTTATAAAGATATTACCGAATTTAACATTTCATGAAATTAAAGGGAGGTAATTAGAAATTAATTTTCTACAATTTCTCGGTCAAATTTTTCAATAAGAAATAAATGAATGTAATTTTAGTGATCAAATATAATGTGCACAAATGTTTGCAGTACATATTTCACATATTATTTGATGTTTGAAAATTGTTTTATAAGCATAATTATATGCATATAAATGTGACATTACAACAATGAGGAATTTGAAAGAAATTTCTGTCACCAGAACAGAATAGAACAGATATTATTAATCAATATCCAATGTGACCTCATCTTCTATTAAAAGTGAGGAAAGTAAAAAATATAAAATTGATTTTATCATCATATCTTTTTCTTACACATTATTATCAACAAATCTACATGAAAATATATAAACACATATTTAGAGAAAGCTTATAAATAGCTGATCAATAGATATCAAAAATAATTTTTTTTATTCATATTTGCAGCTCAAAAACATTTAAATGCCATTGCCAGATCTACTATTAATTAATACTACTATTAATTAATCTACTATTAATCAATAAACTGGAGAAATATTATATGTGATGTTAATTGTGTTTATTTTATAATTAAAGGATGTATAGCCATGCATGTTAATGCATACACATTGGGTTGTTTCCATTCTCCCTAATTTTCGCGAGGAAGTCACTTCTCCCTAAAATTTCCCCCCAGGATGAGCCCTGATACCTGGTATTTCTATTTTCATGATAATTTCTAAATTGATTGAAATTTTGTCTTGTTTGCTGTCTATTATTTTCAGGTCTAAATTCCTGAGCTTGATATGGTCTGTTAAATGTAGGTTTAGACATGTTGGGTTTAGGTCTGTAAGGGTTGCTATGAGAACTATTTTGTGAGGATATAGAATTTGTAGGTTTTTCAGTACTTTCCTGTACACTGCCTATAAGTCTACTTCTCTGTCTGTCAGCAAGCCTATGAGCTTCCATCCTGACAGCTATTTGTTCGGCCTCAGATATACTTTTTGGGCTAACTTCTCGTAATCTTAGTCTAATATCAGACTCATTCAGGGCATCTATAAAACTATCTAAAGCTAAAGCATCTACAACGTCTGGGTTTGCGGTCGGATATGCTTTTCTTGTCAATTTACGTATTGATTGGGCCAATTCAGGAATGGACTCTCCCTTTAACCTTATTCTAGTTTTTAGTTGAGTACGGAATACTTCGGCCTTGTTTTCAGAACCAAATCTGCTCTTTAGTTTTAAAATTAAACTTGAGAAATCTCTTCTTTCAGTTTCAGACAATTCTGTTAACAGAGATCTAGCAGTACCTGTCAATGTACTAGCCAAATATAAGGACTTTTCAACATATGTCCACCCATTAATTTCAGAAGTTATTTCGAACTGTGTGAGAAAATCATGTAGATCTTCTTCTCCACTAAAATTCTGTGGTTTCATTTTCAAACCATGTCTCTTGTCATGAGATATCACATTATCAGCAGAGCTTTCATTGAAATTTTGACCTATATGATTATTACTAATATTACTTGGTCTTGATGGTGTTATATGAACAGGAATTTGAGGATTAACATTATGCTCAAAATGTACATTGTTTCTATAATGATTGAAACTGACCTCATTATCAGGATGTTCTAATTCAGACAACCGTGATCTAACAGATAAAATATCATTTTCTACAGTACCTAGTTTATTTTGTATTTTACTAGTAACATTTTCTAAAGTAAGGCTTAAAGTGCCTATTTCTTTTACTAAATTTGAAATTTGACTTCCCATAAAATTCTCAAGACTATCAATTCTAGAACTAGAATCATATTGTTTTTCATTAAATACATTTTCGGAAGAGCTTTGATCGCCTTCACTATAATCACTGTTATCCAAAGATTCAGTGTTTTTCGGATTCACAACAGAATAGCTATGATCAATATCTGATTCAGCCATTTTGTAACTATTACTAAGTAAATTATATAATTTTATCAAGGAAACAATTTAACTCACAACCTGGAAATATTTATATATATATACTATATATTTCTTACTTATCATAAAGACTTATAATATAAGTTCATAATTCTGTACTAATGTACCAATAAAAATTTTGTCACCATTACTTGTCATAAGTATGTGTCAACTTATTATATCATTATCTTTTCCAGGTTGTCAACATAACATCAACAGCTTACCTTCCAGTGTAGAGAAAACAGAACAGAAAACTGTCAACATAAACAACACAAATCTTATCCCAAATATTTAACTTTTCTTTAAATTGTCTAGCCAATTGTCAGGAGTATTCAACTTTTCAAATTGAAAACTTGTTTTTTCAATTATGTGTAATACTAACTAAATTCTATAAAAAATAATATCCTTGTTCTTATCTATATTTTCATATTCAATTTATCTAAAACATTTGTGTTAACCATGATCTTGTTAGACCTTGTAGATCCCACTTCTGACACCAGATGTGGTGCCCAGACCCCTGCTTAGTGTTTCCAGGGCAGTCTGCAGCCTCACATTAACCCAGGGTTCGTTTTACACGGCCCAAGTACCAAATTATAAATGACACATAAGACATTTTGTAACTTAAAACTCTTTTAATTAAAATATTATATAGATCAATTTATTTACATATACATAGTCATGGATGCCTAGAGTCTCTTATTATTATTCCTATGGATGACCAGATTTCAGTAAACAAGTACCAGGTTTGGTAAAATATAATGAGATACCAGATCTGGTAGTTACCAGATTGGGTACTATACCGGATTGGGTATTATACCAGATTTGGTATGAACCATTTCTGGAACAACCGTTCTCTACACTGGCAAAGTAATTATAACTGTTTAACAATAACAACAAGTGAATTTCACCTGTATCCGATCCATTTTCGGTTATTTATTCGTCTACAATTATCTACTCAATAGAGTACTTTTCTACCAGACGACCTGATATGAGATGACAACGATATGCTAACGCGCAGTATTTATAGTACCCTGTGACGTCATCACATTAATATTCAAAATGGCCGACCAGTGGCAAATTCAGAAATGTGACCAAATATTAAGCAAGATTACATGAAAATAAACGTATGTCAGCATTTAAGAATAGATAATAAACATTTATATATACAAATGGCATCTGAAAATCATAATAATATAAGATAAAAGCAGTTACATAGAAAGTAATCATCAAAACAATGCGATGGTTCGTACTCAGAAATATTCGTACTCAAAGTCGGAAAATAAATAAAAGTAATAAAGAACATTGATAAAATAGCCTGAGCATCACAATATTACTATTTTTCTATCATTATTTTGCCATTTAAGGTGAAAAAACTTGATGTGTTTGAAAATAATCAGTGTTCCCTTAATATCTTTTGCAAATTATTCAAAAAAATAAATTGTTTATGAAGAAAATCAATAACATTAAAAAAGTTGTAGCGGCATCTTCCATAATAAATAAGAGATATTTTCTTCGTAAACTAATGTATTTACTTTATTTTTGTATGGAATTATTCATACAATGATATTTAATTATTTTCTTACAATTAATAACTGCTTTATTTCACTTTAATCTAAAAACATACAATTCGTTATTACAATCCATTAGATGAATTCCCCAAATCTATGTACTGAAAGTACCGAAAAACGGCGTTTAGCGGTTTTCTAATTTGTGAATTCAAAATCGACAAAAAAGGTAAATTTTTCTACTTTGTGATCAAAGGTCATTCCTTTTTACTTTGGAACTACTTCAATCTGAGGCATAAATATGCCAATAATAAGTGTTAAATCCCTTCGAAAGAAAATCTTGTAGGCCTAAAACATGCCTTGTTTGAAATCCGGTCAACTCGTCCTGTGGTCAACTCGTCCCGTGGTCAACTCGACACCTTTTTGGTCAACTTGTCCCCTATTTTTGGTCAACTCGTCCCTAATATGGTCAACTCATCCCCTACTTTTGATCAACTTGTCACTATTATGTTATAAATCAATGTCTTTGAATAGTTCTTTTATGTACTAAAATCTTAATAATTTAAAGTTTGAACTTTCTATTCTATACTTTTAGAAGATTATAAACAATAGGCCTAATGTTCATCTTCGTTATTCTCGTTATTTTTCGGATAGGGCTACCTTTCTGGTCACAATATTTATAACCATATTAAATCAGATATATAAATAATTCAGAGCAACAGATAAGCTTTAAAAGTGAATTGGGTATTACTCCATCATTTCCTTTGGAATTGGGTATTGGCTCCATTTAATTGGGTATTCAAAAACTCGATACCCTTCGATTTCAAGATCTATTGGGTATTCAATTATGAAGATATGAATTTTATGGTTTCAATACCAATAAGATTAAATTTAGATATCCTAACTGTTTTAAAAAGAAGCAATTTACTAGAACTTTTCACAATTGTTTTATTTTTTATATAAAATGCTTATGTTATATTCCATAATATTTTTAACAAGTTCGTTTTCTGACTGATTTTTGATTATTTGCGACTGTTTTGTTTCAAATCATTTTCCCTTTTGTACGACGCCATATTGCTTTTCAAAGCGTCTATTGATATAGCTGGGACCTACTTATTGACAGTCTCCGCAAAATCGACGGTCTCTGCCGGTCTGTAAAGACCGTCAACCTGAGTAGACAAATCGACGGTCTCATGCTTAGTCGGTCTTTGGAGACCGGGGACCGTCGAAGACCGGAGACCGTTGATTAGTTGGCATTGATTCGGGAATATTCGGATATCATGCATATCGATATAATTTGTCCAAAACAACGAGTGTACGACGGATTAATTTTGCGGTGATGAAAATGACAATACGCACGGGTTTTTAAGACAATTGCGTATTTTAATTTTTTTAATGGGTTTTGATACGCATTCTTAAAAAATCAATTGCGTATTTTATAAAATTAATTGCGTAAATACGCAAATACGCACCTTATCTGTTGCTCTGATAATTAAATTTATTTTCTTTCATTTAAAGACATGATACAAGTAAATGTTATTCTCTATTCTCTGTTGACGAAAATATCCCAAAACAGCTGATTTTTATGAAAATAATATTCATATTCGGTACTCCTGTTCTTCTTCGCAAACATGAGTTCATATTTGGAATTTAAACATACCATACGAAAAGCGTAAAAAATGTCCAATTCCATAATTTTATATAAAGTTTTTTAGAAGGCTATATTAATTTATGAAATATATCAAAAACAATGATAATACGCAGAAAGTCTGAGCAGGGCCGAAGGCCCAATCGAGGGCTGTAAGGCTCATAGATAACATGTATGACGCGTATCAATTCAAATGAAATCAAATTAAAAGTAAATGAAAATTAAAAAAAATATATATCCTATACCTAATGAGCTGTGAAAAAATCCTTAGTCAACTGGGCGCCGCCGTTTTGAAATCCTTTTGAGATAAATATTAAGGGTGTAACGGTTTACCTGTATACCGATATATAGCAATATGAAAAAATGAATTTCTTACTGCGGTACGATTTTTGGAAAACCAGTATTTTATAAAAATCATAATTTTCAATTAATTGCCTTCTAATTTCGTAAAAATCTTTAACTGACGAATTATATTAGTGCCAACGTAAGATAAAAATATTCGACAACTTAAAAGTCAATTTGCAGCCGCATAATTAACATAAGCGGCCCAGATGTGAAAGGTCACGGGCCACTAGTTTTGTTTATCAAATTGTGTGACACTTTACTTTATATTCAGTATTCCTTACATTTTTATTAAGTTTCTACTAAGTATATACATATAATAATAATATATAATGTTACTCCATCTTTACAACAAAACATATACACTACAGTACGTACTGCAATATATTGCAATACGCTTTGGCAAAATGGCAATCTATTGCAATACAGTTTTTGCCTTATTGTTACACCCCTACTAAATATAGATATCAGAGCGCTTTTAATGAGCATCTACATAATTCAGACTATTGCTAGCAGACGCTTGCTAAATAACACTTCCGGTGAAAGAATGATGTACAAAATCAGCAAATAAACATGCATTTCATTGATAAATACAATAGTAACCATTATAAATATAGAAGTTACTTTAACATATCCTTTTTGATAAATTTGCACATTAAAAAAATAATGTGAAAACAACAACTGTGATAAGAGATTAACAAAGGCCGACCATGCGCAGTTGCCCCCCTTTACATTCGGAGATTTTTGGAATATTCCAACCGCTCCGATGATAGGTTGAACACCACCAATTTATTCAATTTGTTTATGGTACAAAATACCTGCAAGATTAGATTTAGAAAGATCTGGTTTACATGTACACTAAACTTGTTATGCTAAAATCATAATTCATAAGAGCTTTCCACGCCATATATAGCACCTAATTTCATATTAAAATATAGGGGACTAGTTGTCCACGGGACTAGATGACCAAAAAGGTGACGAGTTGACTGAATCCCTTGTTTTTTGGTAAGACATAGCTTTGCATGCAAGAAAAATATCACATTTTCAAAGCAATTTCTTATTGGAATGGAAGGATTAATATCTGATGGGAATGAGAGATTAATTAATAAGCAAAATAAAAAATATTGGCTATCAATACTTCCATGTGATTCAATATTAATCATTCAGCAATAAATTTGTCCGAAAAGTAAATTTATCCGAAAATCCCAAAGTTTGTAAATGCCCAAATAAATGTCCGAAAAACAAGTCAATTTATATATTACCAGATGGAACATAATCTTCATCTTCAGATGAATCATAATCTTCTTCGTCAGACATGTTTATTACTTATATTCTTTGATACTTTAAAACTAAAAAAAAAACAGAATCTGTGAGAAACCGGAAGAAGAATTCTTATAAATGGTAGCATACTTGATTAAAAAGAACAAGTTCCGCATCTGGCTCGGTCAGAAAAAAAATCTCCAGGAGTATCGATTCAAAAATACCTACGATAACATTAATTAGAACCTACCATCCCAATGGTACTGGTCAATACCAAAATACCAATGATACAATTAATAACCATTTAATTATACCACTTTTTTAAAAAATATTTCCCAACTTATTTGTTGATGTGCCTTTTGTGTCATTGGCAAGATAATAACAATATGTACCAATTGTGAACCCATGGCACTATCAGCCAATTGATGTTGATCTTAAATTTGCTCCTTTTTATGCCCCCGCCATGTAATGGCCGGGGCATATAGTGTTACCCTGTTCCGTCCTTCCGTCCTTCCGTCATTCCGTCCTTCCGTCATTCCGTCATTCCGTCATTCTGTCATTCCGTCATCATCAGTTTCCGTTCATTATCTTAGTAACGGTTGCACATATTCAACTCAAATTTGACATATGGATATGTCATGACAAAATACAGGTCAAGTTCGAATTTGGTCATGGTTCGATGATTTTTGGCAGAGTTATGCCCCTTTTACTTTGAAAATAATATGAAATTTTCAGTTTCCGTTCATTATCTCCCCAACCGTACAACACATTCAACACAAATTTGACACATGGATATGTCATGAAACAATACAGGTCAAGTTCGAATTTGGTCATGGTTCGATGATTTTTGGTAGAGTTATGCCCCTTTTACTTTGAAAATAATATGAAATTTTCAGTTTCCGTTCATTATCTCCCCAACGGTACAACATTTTCAACTCAAATTTGACATATGGATATGTCATGAGAAAATACAGGTTAAGTTTGAATTTGGTCATGGTTCGATGATTTTGGCAGAGTTATGCTCCTTTTACTTTGAAAATAATATGAAATTTTCAGTTTCTGTTTATTATATCCTCAACAGTACAACACATTCAACTCAAATTTGACATATGGATATGTTTTTAGAATGCCCAGGCCCAGTTCTAATTTGTTCATTGTTCAATGATTTTTGGCAGAGTAATGCCCCTTTCACTTTGAAATTAATATGAAATTTACAGTTTCTGTTCATTATCTACCCAACAGTGTTACATATTCAACTTAAATTTGACATATGAATATGTCAAAGGAATGGGCAGGTCAAGTTGGAATTTGGTCATGGTTCGATGATTTTTTTGGCAGAGTTATGTCCCTTTCACTGAAAATAATATAGATACATCTTAGGAATAAGCAGTTTAAGTTTGAATTTGGTCGTGGTTCAATGATTTTCGACAAACTTATCTTTCTTGAATATTGGAAAAATTTTGAACTTTCAGTTTCAGCACTCATACTTTTGTGGAAATATATGTAGCCATTATTTTGGCTACAAATATGAAATATGCTATTTTCAAAAGGTTAAGACTGAATAATTTCAGTGCCTTGAACATTGTATGGAAATGGTTTGTGTTAACATTGAAAAGTTTTAAGGGCTTTGAACTTAAAATGAAAACAATAATTTGTGCAAACAAATTTGGAACTAAATATTATAACATCTGAAATTTTGGCTGCATGCGGGGGCATCCGTGGCATGATGACACATTTCTAGTTTTCTTAATGATCTGGTTATTTTTGTGATATTTGTATAGTTATTAGTATTTTTTTCCCAAAATAAGTTTGTTTCTTGACACATTTTTAATATTTTGTATCGACCTTTATATGAAGATAAATTGTAATTAAATGTAGAAATCAATCAACAATCATAGCACACCTGCATAATTATGTTAATAACAATTATCACTAGCATCAAAACTGTTTCAATTATTTTAAATTGGTACATTTTTGTTAAAGCGCAATTTTCAGTTTATTAACTTGCAATTTTTGGCTAATAACATTATTTTAACCAAAATAGGATGTTTCACAAAAATAACTTAACGGCCGATTTTACAAGTTCTGAGGCCCATTTGACTAGTTCTGAGGCCCATTTGACTAGTTTTGGGGCCCATTTGACTTTTTAGAAATAGTTGTGTGGCCAATTTGACTAATTTTGAGGCCGAATTGACTAATTTTGGGGCCCATTTGACTTTTTAAAATTGTTGTGTGGCCGATTTGGTTTATACAGAATTTATTTTAGTTCGATTGTGTAGGAAGCTATTAGCTTCGAATCCGTTCCTGGAACCAACCAGTACTGAGCAATGAGTGTAAAGTTTCTTGCTAAAGGAAACAACGACTTGCCCCTGTCAGGGTTTGAACCCATGCGGGTAGCGATCATAAGATTACTAGTCCGATATATATGGGCTTAAAAAAAGAACAAGGCCGAGTGGTTAACGCTTCGGACTATATATATATACTCGTACATGTATACCTTGTGATACTTTGTGATGTTTGGGAAACTTTACTCGTATTAGTCCCCTAACGGACTATCATTCCCCTCGAGTTCCGTTTTCAGTGTCGTCCGCTCCGGTATTGGTCTATTTAATATATATTGTGAATTTTAAATCTCTTCCATTGCCAGTGTTTATCTAATTTAGATTTGAACTCATTTACATTCTTTGATAAAACTATTTCACTGGGAAGTAGGTTCCATTCGTTTACGACTCTATAAGTGAAGGAATTTTGTCTTATTGCCTTTAGTGGTCTTAACTTTTCTAATTTATAAATATGTCCTCGGATTTCATGATTTGTAACAGATAATTTGAATAACTTTTCATAGAAGTGTATGCTATCCACAATGTATTTGGCCTGACCGACAGATCTTAATAAAGTCATGTAAGAGTTTCGTGGATTCCCTTAACGACAATTTCGGGCACATTTCCGGAAAAAAAAAATCATCATTTTACGGTATCAACTGTGAGTTACCTAGTGGCTGCAAGCAGGTTAAATTAATCTTTTGTGATTCAAATTCAAAGACATAGAAACAATACGTACATTATAAAGCTTATTACATTTGATATAAAACATTAATTTTCTCTACAAACCGAAAATACAAATTACGAAGCTGCTGTTAATTGATAGTATTTCAGACTTCATTTTAATGGTTTTGCAAGTGGTCTTCTAAAATCGATTCTGCATCTCGGGCATCTGTTTCAAACGAAATAAACCACCCCCACCCGGATGTTAAATATATACGCAAATTATACACCACCTGGCTTCTAAAGTCACGTGGTTAATTAAGTTTCGTTTCCTGTATATTTATGAACGCGATATTCCGGATAATCATATTATTATAGTGCATTAAACAAATAATCAATGTTTATGAATGATATAAATATATGAATTTTATATATGAATATATGAATAGCATATTACAATATTTGGTGTAAGGTACATTTGGATTTATATTTACGATACCGACACAGGCAAGCTATTGATATTGAAGCAATAACCAATCGACGACGAGCAAGGTTAGCTATCGTTTTTTATGTATTACATTATTTTGTCATGGTTTTAGACAAAGGGACCCGGCACAGTCTTGGGATAGTGTAAAAAAAGTAATTCTAGAAAAAAATTATACTTTATATATAATATATATATTAAATATACAATATATATATATTTTTTAAAAATTACTTTTATACACTATCCCAACACTGTGCTGGGTCCCTGTGGTTTTAGACAGAACTCGCTATATAAGTTATATCCCGGGTATTTAAATTGTGGACATTTTCCGTAGCTTGTCGTTCCATATAAACCATCTTGGCCCATTTTAATGTCAAATTGCTTTTATATGTTTGTTCTATAAACCATACAATCAAGGTCATTTGTTGGACTATTTTAGTTCAAATATGTAAACATGAACTTATTCTCATGTATAAAAAAGATAAGAATGAATTAACTAGTTCCATGAGGGACGCATACTAATTTGAAAAAAAAGCCATTTTTAAATGTGATAAAATATGCAATTTTTCAACACTATGTTTTTTTTTTATATTTATGTAAATCAAAAACTATCTAAATAAACATCCTGGTACTAATAAATTGAGTGTCATGGTGCAGTAATACGTACCTTACCCGAATACACATAAAGTTCTTCACTCAAGCGAAACATATTTCATTTAAACACAGACTGAAGATATTTTGAGTACATTGGTGTAATGGTTATAATTTGTAACAAGTACATTTTAACTTAAAATATATTGATTACTGTGTGTCGTACCTGCATTTTTAATGTTGCATGATAAGATTTTTGTAAAGTATTGATCGAAAGCGTTAAATATGATTTTATCATGTTATGCTTTGTTTGCATATATTTGAATGATATTATGGATTTCGAAGATATATACAAATTGTCAAGTTTTAATTTTAGCAAATCAGCTAGACAACTGTTTTCAAAAATTGCAATAGTTGACATTTTCAAAGACGGATTAAACATTTAAACAAAGGTAAAAAAGCAATATCTAATTACTTTCAGGATTTTCACGACGAATATGTAACATAAGTTATGGCAAAGGAACTGTGTCCAGAAGATGTTGATGATTTAAGCTTAGCAGATGCGGCGGACTGGTTGGATGAAAGAGGTATATCATATGAACTCTTAGAGACACATGAAGAGGTTTTAGATCTGATAAAGGCAACACTTGCTAATGCTGACACTAACACCGGAGAGAAACATATAAATGTAAGTTTAGTGTACAGTAAATTTTACATCACACACATCTTTTGAACTGTATAGAAAAACATATGTAAAGGGAATATGTCTGAGATCTAAGGTATGAAGACAAAAATGAAAATGAAAATTGCAGATTTGGTTTCATTTTGCATGTTTGTGAAATAGGTTGGACGATGTTTAAATTGGGAAAATTCACATAAGATGTGTTATTACCTTGCATAATCCATTAATTTCAAGTTTCTTTATATTTTCTTTTTCAAAAGTTATTGCAGTAAAAGAAACAACAATGAGCTTTAATATTTTCTTAATCACTTAACAGAGAAAAAGTCTTCATGATATATATCACAGTTTCTAATTTAGCAAACATTCCGAAGTCATGTTTTTATTACTTAATTATTAGTCTTATAAATCAATTTCAAATATTAAGTCGTGTTATTATGATTAAGATATACTCTATCGTTGGTATATCCCTTTTCATTTTCGTTTTCATGTTGGTCAGTTGAAACTTTCTTTTTCATAAGGTTTAATATCAGTGATTGAAGTCTATAAATGTAAATCATTTTTAACTGAATGATACGTTAAATACAATCCTTAGAAAGAAATACTGGTAGATACAAATGTTTTAAATAAAATAATAAAACATTCATCAATTTTATTGAAAAGTTTAAAAAGATTGGGGCAAAAAATAAAAATAAATAAAAATAATAAACTTTACACCAACCACAAGTGAGCAACAGCCTTTTTCCAAAAATGTTTTTGGAGTTTTTTATCTAAGGCAACAGACAATAAATTTGGTTAGGATGTATGAAGTATCGCCCGGAACATTATACAATATAATTCCGATCAGAAAATGAGTTTCTGTTTAAATAATAGTCATTTTGGTAATTCATATCACATTAAGAGCGAGGAGTTGATGTCTGACGCTATCAGTGAGGATGGTGCTATGAAACATGATTTGCGTAGAGTATATGAAGACATTAAAGTGTTTGCCAGAGACAGTTTAGGAAACGATTTGAGAGATCATATCAACAATACTTTCACTGATATAGACGCTCGTCTGGACGGAAACATTGATGATTTAATGAACTCAGAAAATGCCATAATTGTTGCAGGTACGTAAAATTTAAAATAAATATAATTTACTGTTCTTGCTCACAGGTATACATTTACAGAAAAAAAATACAGTTTATTCCTTTGTAAAGTTATCAATTTCTTTTTAGATATAGGTTATTTTTATTCTATCACATTTTTATATTTTGATGTGTATAGATTTATTCATTTAATTATTTTGAAACATTATCCAATGTTATTTAACATAAGTGCATAGTGTAATATTACAACAATATCTGATTTAACTGAATCGACAATGTTTAAATTTGGCCGCGCTTGTATTCCTTTGATCTAAATCTGATACCGGTATGTCTTTTGCATTCCCCGTAAAATATTTTATTTTCACACAGGAAAATGTGACAATTGTTGATTCGCCTGGTGTAGGAGAAAGTGGAGAAATGACAGAGAAGCTAGTTAAATACCTCCCAAAAGCTGTTGCTTTTATATATATTGTAAACAGCGCAAATGCTGGAGGAATCCAGGAAGATACTGTATGTCAATGAATTCATAATCATATATGGATATATGAACAGAATCCTTACACAACTGAAAATTTTACAACATACTTCAACTTGCAAAATGTATTGCCGTATCATATATATAAGAACAGATAATTTTGGTGTTTTTTGCTGGTGTCACCTGTACATTATATATTGTTAGCAAATATTTTGTATTTTATCTAATTCTGATGATCTAGATGATCTCCAAAAGTTTTAATAGTGTTAAAAAATGTTTGTTGATCTCAATTATAAACGGCAAACATTATCTGCAATTTTTGAAGCTTTATATATTTACTCATAATTTAGTTAATTTAAGTTTTAAAATCGGACAAATGTTTGTTAAAATATTGAGTTTTGTATAAACAATGAATTCTTTATTCTTCATCTTGAAAACACCGTCTTTGATTGGATTGTTTTTGTTTTACTAAAATACAGTGTTCTATTAAAAGTTTCCTTATTTGCAGATATTACAAATCATTTTGGAGCAAAAGAAACTCGCCGACACAACAGAACTATCTAGTTTTGATCCCAAAAATATGCTGTTTGTATGTAATAAATGGGATGTTGTGATAAAGCGTGGAGAAAGTGAGAAAACGTGGCTAGACACAGTTCGAAAACTTACGATGACAATTCCTGGACTAACTGAGGATCATATATTTAAAATGAGTGTCACAGAGGTATTATAAAATTGTATAAAATTGTTTTCAAGTAAACTTGCTTAATCCTTCAAGATGAAATAAGATATTTTTAAGAATTTGAATAAATAATGATTTTTTTCCACAATTAAACACGGGTGATAACCTTACTTACATTTACACAACAGCAATAATTCTAATTGAGTGTGATACTTTGTCCTTTTTATATATAAATTATAGGCTGTTAAATACAAGAAGAGCAGTATAGGAAATACTGAAATGTATCAGCATTTACTGGACGGGCTTGGTCAATTCGTCCAAGACAGTTTGGTTGCCAACATCAAGAGACATTACAGGTAGGCTTAAGTCAACAAGACTAACCATTATAGATTACAAATTCCACAGATATATATACAACGGATAGGAAGCTCCGAAAATAGACGATAGTCAGATTTAGACCCACAATCCTTTGGGCGCTTCGATAATAATTGGGTTTTTCCCCGCTAGTCTCAGATTTTCGCTCTCTCGTTAAACGTAGGGAATATCCGTGAATTGTTGTTTACATTGCCGACATGAATTTTCATCGGAGAAATATTTATGTGGAATAAGTGAATATTGCTTCTTATATAAGTAGGAAATGCTGTTTTTTGTCGATGTACCTCCGGGAATTCAATATGGCAGTTTTTTGGCTTTTTACCAAGGATGCATCAAATGTTGGAAAATCTCGCGACATATGATAACTTACATGAATACAATTCCATCGATACTGAATTTAAATGCGTGATGACACAGTTTCTTCTCCATCTATATTTTGCTCCATGCCTTTTCCAAAGGAATAACGGGGAATTATAGAGGCCGCCAAACACTGTTTAACATTTTCATGTTTGTTAACGCCTCCTAACCCAGGCTTATTGAGAATTTTCAATAGATAATCGGGGCGGATATGTATCATTGGCGTCCGCGCCAAAGCGAGACGCCTTTTATGGAATGAAATCAGATTTTGTGAAAGGGCAATTGCAACTTCTCGGGCCTTTTCGTCGGTCATAATAGCCGATCATTCCGATTGAAAATGAGTTGTTATGGTATTATTGACACACTGGTGGGTCATACGTGGTTTTTGAATTAATTCATTAAAATAGTAGATTGACTCCAAAAATCAATTAACAGACTTTGTTAATTTTGACTACAATTTTGTATGTTCCAAAGAAAATACCACACGACCTTGAAATTCTATCAAATAACCAATATTAATGATAATATCCCAAAATACCCCCTGTATAGTTTAAAATAACACATACTATATAGGGGGTTTATTTTGGATATTATAGACCTGTATATTTGGACATTATCGTTATAATTAATATTGAAAGAATTTCAAGTTCCTGTGGAAAAAAAATTCTAATCTCTAGCATGCCTACCAAAGTTCATGATGAACAATGTATTTCGTCCGCCCATTCATAAATGATATACACTTCTGTTTAAAACCAATTATCCATTGATAATCTGGTCATCAGATGTCTACTAGTTCATTTTCACTTGCTGCATTTCTTGCATGGACGCCCTTTTATGCTTTGCATCAATGCTGTACTTGCACTTTTAAATATAAGGCAATGAGCTAACACGACTGTAGAGATTTAAGTCTTTAATAATGACACAGTGAAAAGTGTTAAAAATGTATATGTAAACTTCCTTTTCTGTTATTTTGAAGATGGATAAGCGGGCTTGTAGAAACGATTGAAGATTACATTGCATCACGGATAAATAATGCCAAAAAATCCTCAGAAGAAAAATCCACATTTCAAGAAAAAGTGAGTTTAAGGCTTTTCAAACTGGAAGAAGATTTTGAAAAGGTAAATTTCTCTATATATATCGCGTGCTTATATTGTGTACATTGTATTTTTAGACAAATGCCATTCTTAAGTCGTGGGACACGACTTAGACATGGAAAGTCGTAGTTGTTTATGCCATAGCCGTAGTTATTTTTGACGTGTGGCGGCTGTAAAATGTCTCTCGTACATTTAATCAAGGATGTAATATTTTCTATCCCTAAAGACCGTTCAGCACATCATAATTGTTGTGCATACATGTTATGTGGTATTTTAGTTTCAGAAATTTGGCCTTTATTAACTAGGGTGGTTCCACTATACCTTCACGAATACTGTATAATCACTCTTAGGATATGCTGCCAGGTTTTTCAATTGGAATTTTGACATCTTTTCTGTGATATGCAGGCATTATAACCTCAGATCCACTTTAAAATTTCATTCTATTTAGTTCAGCCAATTGTTTTCTCGTTAAGGGCACATGCATTCTTTCACTTGGGGACGATACGCCGCTTTTCATGGAATGGCACTACTTTGTCATCTTGAAGATTCCACGATAACCGCCGTATGAGCACATCTGCGCATGTTTCTAGATTCAAAATTTAATCATTTTTGTGTTTAAATGTTGACTTCTGCTTAAGCCAGTGCTAATTAAGGGGCGTGGACGGTAAATTGCACTTGACAATACCGGCCATGAACGCTCTATCGAACCGAGCCTGCAACATTTTCAATTTTGCCGTGTTTGGCTTTCTTTAGGGATTCTGTTTTTCTCTATTTTATATAGGAGAGATGTGAAGCATTAAAGTAGACACAAATCCTCAAAGTTAAAACAGTTGTAGATTCAGTCTGTTTGAGCGTCTTGATCGTATAAGGACTTCTTATGTCTTTCTATTAGTTCCAATGAGGACATCATTAATCGTACTACCGGTAATCTATGTAAGTTATGTAAGTTTGTGTGTAAAGATGGTACGAAAATGAAAGCCTAGGTCTTACATTATTTCGTTTTCTTTATTGTTTATGGAACAGGTAAGAAAGCAGCTCATTGATAAAGCACGAACAGAATTTCACAATGTGACAATCCAGCTCCACAGTCATCTCCAAAAAGATGACGTCATTTCTATTCTTGATACGTGGACAGAAGAAGAGTCGCCTGGCGTTACTGATAACGATATTGATGTTACACGATTCGAAGCGAAGGGTTTGATAATGTCAAGATTATTGCATGTTATCCAAACTTGGGAAAGTGACACACGCATTGTGGAAAGAACAACCCAACAACTTTCTGACCTATTTAATAAAGAGTTCTTAATTATATCTAAAAATTGTGAAGACGTTAGCGAAATTCTTAAACACGGTTCTCTCTCAGACGAGGACGAGCTTGTTCTAGGTAAGGCGTTGCAAGTAACTCAAATCCATTTTCTATTTGTTATATCGTTCAAAAAATGTTAGGTACTTTTGTTATTTTAAAGCAGCAGGCCTCAAGAGGATAACAGAAAAACTATCGTCTTAGTAATAATATAGAAGAAATCGACATGACACTTCAAATGTTCATATTTTAACAGTAATGTACTGAAAACAATCAGTTCGCTTTTCTGCCAGCGGAAAATACCTTCTTTTATTAAACTACGTAATTTTATGCTCCCCGAAGGGAGAGCAAATTATCTCCCCTTTTAGAAAAATCTTGTCCGGGACACAACTCTAAAACTATAAGAGATATCAACTTGAATCTTTGTAGGTAAATATATTTCAATGGGTAGATGTGCAGTGCACAAGAACCATAACTTTTTTGCCTAATTTTGGAGTTATTGCCCTTTGTTAATTTTAACACTTTGATTTTTGTCCGGAACATAACTCTAAAACTAAGAGATATCAACATGAAACATTGTAGGTAGATAGATCTTATTGAGTAGAAGTGCAGTGCAAAAGAACCATAACTTTGTTAAGCCACATTTTTTAATTATCTCCCCTTTTAGAAAAACCTTGTCCAGGACATAGCTGTAAAACTATAAGAGATATCAACATGAAACTTTGTAGGTAAATAGATCTCAATGGGCAGATGTGCAATGCGTAAGAATCATAACTCTGGCTTGGCTAATTTTGAGTAATTGTCCTTTGTTTATTTTTAATTTTTGAACTTTGTCTGGGACATTTCTCTAAAGTCATAAGAGATATCAACATGAAACCTTGTTGGTAGAAAGATCTCATTGAGTAAAAGTGCAGTACAAAAACACCTTAGCTCTGTTTCGCCCAATTTGTGAATTATCTCCCCTTTTAAAAAAAATCTTGTCTGGGAAATAACTCTAAAACTACAAGAGATATCAACATGAAACTTTGTTGGTAGATATATCTCAATGGGTAGATGTGCAGTGCACAAGAACTTGAACTACGCCTTGCCAAATTTTGTAGTAATTGCCCTTTGTTCATTTTTATGTTTTGAACTTTGTACGGGACATAATTCGGAAACCATAAGAGGTATCAACAAGAAACTTTGTAAGTTGATAGATCGCATTAATTAGAAGTGCATTGCAAAGAACAGTTACTCTGCCTAATTTTGGAATTATTGCAATTTGAACCTTTTCCAGGAACATTACTCTGAAACTACAAGAGGTGTACTTTTCTGTGTCCAAAACCTATTCGGGGAGCATCACCCGGCTCAAACCGGGCTATTGTTCCATCTAGTACCACATGAATGTACATGACAATATCGCCATGACAATATCGCGACCTGTGATCGGGAACGCACGGAATCCGGGCTCGTATCAAACTTAAAGGGAAACGAATTTACTGCTTTGGTTCTGATTTTTGTAGTAATTTTTGGCAAATATCAAAAATCAAATATTCAAATATATCATATAGAAACATTTATATATGATGACCAATATATAGATTTAAACTTTAGATTGAAATATGACCAGGGCCTGCACATTTACTAAAATGGATATACGACCCGGGCGTACGGGATACTAGGATTTTTCCGGACCAGTGTTTTGACACGTGATCATGTTGAATGAATTATCTACTCCTATTTATATTGGCTACTGCGAGAGTAACGTACTCGATTATGCAAGGAAGAAACTGGCGCTTTTGCAAACACTCTTTCTTAAATTAAGATGTCAGTAATAAAAGTTTTACACATAAAACTTAACTAGATCATTATAAACTGTTTATTTGAAATTTTATTTCATTTTGTTTTCATTTTACCATCTGGAGTCCAGTGGTTTTAAAATCATTCTTGTTACCTTAGTGTTGCCTGATTTGTTTTCATACTCCATAACATTTCTTATGATTACTTATTATGTCTTTTTGTATATTGAATGTTTAGGAATTGAGTTTATTTTATGGTAGATATAAGATATTTGATTTAATTGTATTCCCTTCTCTGCTCGTTAATAGCTGTGAACTCACCCAATAGCCCGAACATGCATGTTGAGATTACAAAACTTCCATTAATTAGAGCTATAGGCGGCTTACCTAAAATCAGATATTTAATAGGAGCACTTTTATATCTAAGTGACACGACACTTTAATAAACGCTTCAACACATATACATTCTAAAAAAAGTCATCTATTATTTACCTCTTTCAGGTGGTAGAGGCATCGGCTCAATCGAGATTGACGGACTTGAAGGGATCCATATTGCGATTATAGCAGCAACTGCTCCAATATGGATCCCTATTGGACTAGCTGCACTTGCCATATTTGTACCTATTGGATTAGGGTACCATATAGTGGACAGTATAAAGAAAACTATCGAAAGAAAAGAATACCGAAAGAATAAGGCAAAATTTATGAAAAAATGGACACATAGTCTGCTTGAAGATTTACGTAAAATCGAAAATATATCTAACCTGATTGATTGGATATACCTAGAGAGTATGCTATATCGAATAGACTATTTGTTTTCCACTTTCTTACCAAAACAAATGAAAGCCGATAGAGCTCAACTGCTCAGCATTGTGAACGATAAAAGAACTGCTGACCAAATTGTTGATCTATTTCAACCAAAGTCATTAAAAGTGAAGTCCATTGTCAAATCGCTGCGCTTATTTGATTTGAGATATTTAGCTGATGATGTGATTGATATATCAAAGATTCAACACTACAGACAAATTGGAGGGGGGAGTTTTTCTGATGTATATAGAGCGACATGGCAACAGGGTGACGGAAACGATAAAGAGGTCGCTTTAAAAATTTTAAAAGGTCATGACATGTACTTACAGCTATGTGAGGTTACGTGTTCAAGGTATTAATATTTTATATTTTATTAAATGTTTTATATTAATAACATGGGTGACTATAGTTGCAAGTAAAGTCCGTTTAATATTGTATATGTTTTTTCTTGTGCATTATTCGGCAGCGTTAATTAAGTCGTATTATAAGGGTATTGCAGATAGTAAGCAGTTTAGCACACATTCCGCACATGTTTTGTTATGATATTGTCTATCAGATTCACGTCCTTTATTGTACCTTAGATATTGTTTAAAAGTCCATAGCTGTTTCATTTAATATAGATTAAAATGTACAGCGACTTATCAGTTATAGGTGTCATTAAAAAGTAGTTGTAATATAGTCAACCAAAGCACAATTGAATTTTTCTTTTAAAAATCATCTTAAACATTTTCAAGTTATCAGACATGCAAGACGAAATTTTTAACTTTTTAAACACAGGAAGTTAAGGCACGACAATATAGTGGAATTTTACGGCGTGATCTTTGCTGAACGTCAACGATATGAAGGTCGAATCGGCCTATCTGGAAATGAAATTTGTTTACCTCTATATGATGATCGGCTGATGCTCGTGCAGGAGATGTGTGATCAGAGTTTAGAGTCTTTGGTTTTTGGAACGAAAGACAAGCAGTGCGGGTAAGTATGTTTGTAATTAAATAACATACATAGTACAAGATTAAACATTAACTATAACTTAATTATACGATTACGTACATGAGAAGTGCTTATTTCATTCATGATTTAAACAGATATTGATACTGTAATGGTATTTCCTTATATTTATTGAAGGTCATTTTCCAATGCATTGCGACGGGGAGAAACGCATGAGTTTTTCTTCAATATGTGCTCATCGATATGTGAGGGTCTATGTTACATGCATAGTACAGGGTACTTACACAGGGATTTGAAACTCTCAAATGTTCTGGTAAGACATATTAATATACTTATGAATTTATTACTAATTCAAAAATAAATTTAATTTCTACACCCCAACCCCCCTATGTTTTACATTGTAGCTTCAAGATTTTGATGTCTTCTCAGAAAATGAATAAAGCGCTGGTTTAAATAACAAATTCGTTGTGACCAGGAATGACTAAAAGCAGTTACATGCAAGTTTTATTTTGTATGGCGTCATTTAACGTCTTTCATTACAGGTAATAAATGGTGTTGGAAAACTGAGCGACTTGGGATTTGCCAGAGCAGAAGCTGTCGTTTCTGGGACATCAGCTGGTACTTTGTCGCACATGGCACCAGAACTTCTGGAGGAAAAAGTGTATAGTTTCAGCTCAGATGTGTACAGTTTGGGTATTCTTACATGGGAACTTTGGTATGGTACTCGATCTTATTCAGATGCAGATTGTGCTGGTTACGGTGTTGCCCAATTTATCGATGCAGTTAAGCGTGGGGAGAGGCCAAAATGTGATAAGGAACATACAATGATGGACGAATTGATCAAATTGGTTCAACAATGCTGGCGTCATGATCCGAAACAACGTCCAACCGTGCAACAAGTAGGCACAATTCTGCGAAGTATCGATGAAAAAAATCGGAGAGATATTTCCAGATAGTTACTAAAATACTGGACCCTGTATATTTAGTTTACTCAAAGCTGAAGGAAAAGATTAAATACATGTTTATACTTGTAAAATATATATACTATATAATTTTTATTGACACCAAATGACCTAGATCATTGCGTTTAAAATTTAAGAGAACCAATAAATAGACAGGTGTAGATAGTCAATTTGACACTAAACGATTTAAAGTTAAGGTACACATTACCGGTTCCTTTGTTAATAAGTATTATGGGGATAACATGCATATTTTTTAAAATGATTTTGATTTGTTAATGAGCAAGAAATAATTATTTCAGAATTAAATTAAGTGAAAATAGATATGATAATTATGTAAAAATTGTTAGGAAAAGAGAAAAAGGACAATGTAGAGAGTTGAAAGCAAAATAATAACATTTTTATATTCATATATCTGTTTTAAAAGATAAGGGTTATGTCAGTTAGGAATGTTTTACTGCAACAATTGAATTCCTTTTTCAAACATGTTTGTGATAATTACAATTTGACGAACCGTAGTTAGACTAAAGAGGAATACTTTTTCTTCAATATGTGCTCATTGATATCTGGTGGTCTATGTTACATGCATAGTACAGGCTACTTACATGCTCACAGAGTTATAAAACTCTTAAAATGTTCTGGTATGACATATTAAGATATTTATGAGTATATTACTAAATGTATGCTTGTGCAAGTTAGTTCTTGTTTATAACATAACATTGCATAGCATAATCTTAATTTGCATGAGCATACATATGTATAGCTAATATACATTCATTTACAAAGGACATAAACGTATAACAATAAGTGTACAATGTTCACGGAAGAATCAAACAAATGACGCTTTAATTGACTTACCTCTTCCGATGGATGTTATCAGCTGCTTAAATCCTACGTTGTACGCTTTCTTTTGAAATGCTTAGTATAAACATTTTTATTATATTGATAAGTACTTAAGGATTTTGCATGTCATCAGTTATTTGTTTCTAAGGTAACTGATGCCAAATTCAAAGCCTCCATTATGAAAAGTATTCATTTTCAATAGAGATAGGCAGTTGGCATGGTGTTTGATTTCAAACCTACTGGTCGCCAACTTTTTTTAGACTAGTGCTTTGTATATTTTTGTCCAATATAATTATGGTTTTCTTTTCCATTTCTGTTTTAATTTTTTAATGCACAAATATTTGAAATGTTTAATTATGTACTTATTAGTGTTAATAATAAAAAGTAGGGTACTTTTGCAACTTTAGATGTTCATATGAATGGTAAACATCCCTTACACTTTGCACAAATTGTCAGAATTGTTTCAAGATGAATATTATATTTATATAATAGGATACCCCATTGATAGATTACAAATGTTACTCAGTCTGATATTCTAAACATTTTCTTTCAGATATGCTTTACTTTTTATTTCAAACTACGGTTGTTTCTAACCCCTCTAAACCCCTCAAAGAATAGACATGAATTTTATGTGCCCGGTATCACGACCATTTAATTTTGTTTATTAATGGAGAAATGCCCATACAATTTTAAAGATTGAATAAGATATCAATGAGAGAAATTATAAACGCCAGTATGTATGACTATACAATAAAATGAGTTTCAAGTTTTATACCGTTTTGTTGTTGTCCGAAATATTACCGTATAAACTCTACGACTACCTTTTTCTGGAGTCTTCAATAGAAAGTCAAATTGACTTCGTTGCGAAATAAAATAAACTATGTAATAGCCTGGATAATTTATTTCACAATAATATCTCACAGGACGCTGGATAAAGTAACAAAGTCGTCAGATCTTTGCATGACATAGGCGTTTAAGACCAAGCGGCGAATTCTGCTAGTAAATGAAATCTATAAAATCTACGAATTTCAGTAACATGTTCCTTTGTTTCGAAACCCATTGTGTGCTACCTATTTGTCTGACCTCTTTGCAAATTAAGTCATTCAAAAGTTTGAAGGTTTCCCTTAACGACAATATCGTGCACATTTCCTAATAATTCACCCAGTTGGTAACGACAAGAAGTTAAACAAGCAACGACGAACAAAGCTATAAACTTACAGTATGTGTTCAGTATAACATTGATCATATTTTGTTCTCTGTTCAGTATTTATTGCACTAATATTCTCTGCTTAAAAAGGCGTATTCATTCCCCGCTACTGAGATAAATATATATACCTTAACTTGTATCACTATGCGTTTTAAACCTTAATAAAATCAACCGATCAAAATACGTAAATATGTTTTAAAAAATCATCCATATTACAAATAAATCGGTTAGATAAAATCTTATTATATTTTATTGAACATTAAAATTATATTAAAGTACACTTAATTTGGTAGGGTAATTGTAATATTGTTAAATGAAAGATAATGATGATGACAGTGATGTTGATGATGATGATTATGATGAATTAAAGCGACACTAATTGTTCTTTCTTATGATTATATATATATTGCAAAAACCATCGAGTCATTCACACTTTGTCCGCAAAAAACTCGCGAAACATATATGACACAAATGTGTCGTCTGCAAAATTTCGGTAATTGTGCCATTTAGTATTCATTCTGCTGTTATTGACATATCTCGCAGAAACAGACAAATCATTCATATCTTGATCTCAAATTACATGTGAATTACTTAAACTCGCGAAACATATATGACACAAATTTGTCGTCTGCACTATCGCTGTACGTTTAATAGTGCCAGTGATTACTCTTTCTTGTGTCGTTCATTTATCATTCAGATACGACAGAATCTTAAATTTGTTTCCCTTTAAACACCATTTAAATAGGAATCCACACGTATCATGATTATCTTTACTTATTTCCTATGTACGCTTGTGCGTCTTGCTAAGAACTGGCTCAACAAATGTCACTGTGACTATATAGTAATGCACCGATGATTGAATGAAATGTATCATCTGAAATCTAAGATTGTCAGCTTTCAAAGCAAAGACAACATTCTACAATCGGGCACGCCCAATATCGCATAATGCACGGGGCTTTCAATACAGTTGAAATCAACCCGTGGGATGTTTACAGTAAACTAAAAGAAACCGTGATGGTAGTTATGGGATGTAATAGACATAACATGAAAAGAAGCATGCGTATCTCTGTTATATAAAGCAAGTACTTAGCAAATGCTTTTACTTAAATTAAAGGCCCAGTAACAATATATTAATAACATATGGGTTTGTGGGTAACAGTAAAAATATCATCCTGAGGAAAATACTGTTACCCGAGGCGATACACCAGTCATAAACATACAATAAGCTGTGTTTTATTTAGAAAACAAATCACTTACCCATTTATAAGGTTATGATCTGTGAAATCTGACCCTTCTGTATCCAGAACATTTTTCGCATGGTTTTTGACAAAGTGCATTTACAAAATAACGATGATATCCTACATATGTCTGTCCACCAACTCTATCTGTAACGTTTCACTGGTTAAAATTATTGAATAATCCTTTGTTGCATGCTTTAATCGTCTGCATGTTCCAGTTTGACACAAAATTATTCACATTACAATTACTTCCGTTGAAAACGGATGTTTACTTTCTTACTATTCAACAAAAAGATATTTTATACGCGAAAAGAACTCTACTGTAGGGTGCAATGAACTAAATTTTATGAGAGTCATAGTTACTTTGGTGATGCCCTAGGCCCTATCGTCGAAAATAAGAATGAATCAAGAGAAAAATGGCGGCCATTTTATTTCATTTTATTTAGAAAATAGACCACGTGACCAGATTTTATACTGTTTAAAAATACTGTTACCTATGTAACAGTACAAAATGCTTAGTCACGTGGTACACTTGCATTAACAGTAAGAATAACTCCCAAGGGCCTATGGGAAATTAACTTTACGAAAAATGTGAGGGGTAATAATACAATTTTATAGTTACTCGGTTTTTGGGGAGGCTATGCCGACCCAATGTTAATAACCGTCTGTCAAATCTTACTGCCGCGGTAATCAGGTCAAAAAATAGTACCTTGATTTTTTCTAAGCTGACTCATCACTCATCACAGACATTTACAATATGAAAATATTTTCATTCTTTAATTTCATATCTGCAATTTGTAAAGATAATAATTATCTGAAAAATTCTTGATTTTTGTTTAAATCACTACTCCGTGACGTCATACTGCCGCGGTAATCAGGTAAAAAAATAGTACCTTGATTTTTTCTAAGCTGACTCATCACTCATCACAGACATTTACAATATGAAAATATTTTCATTCTTTAATTTCATATCTGCAATTTGTAAAGATAATAATTCTCTGAAAAATTCTTGATTTTTGTTTAAATCACTACTCCGTGACGTCATACTGCCGCGGTAATCAGGTTTAGGCATACGTACGTCTGTAATAAATAGTTCTGGTATGAAAACCCTTCAAAATAATAACTTTATCAATATTTTTTTAACAAAAAGCATAAATGAAAATTTATAAGTAAATGCTTTAATTCAGTGGCAAATATTCTTTATTATTTTTGATAACAATTTTCCAATTACTACGCAGCGACCAACTGTTTATGACGGGTCATTAACTAGAACGTTGCCACACCGTATTCTCAATATCATGCATGTTCTTTTGTTGTTATAAACTATTAATAGTCCTTAATATTTTTTAAAGACAAATAATTGTAAACTGTCGCTTACATCAGAGACATGGATCATGCTTGCGTGATAACTAAGGAAAACTAACTTATTTGTACACCCCAGGAGGCTGTACGCGGAAAACGCTCATAAACCGCTTAATCATATAGCTGTTTAGTAAATATTTTGCATACATTTAACTAAAAATTCACTGATGGTGATGAACATATAGTTTGAAAACATTATATTCTTTAACCATTATCGCCGAAAAAAAACTATTTAACTACAAAACCCCTAAGGACCTCCGACAAAATTCCAGCACAATATTACATTTTACATTAGCAAAATAAAAAAAGCAATACTTATATTTTCATCTTACATAAATCATTAATCAAACTTTTAACATAAAATTATCTTTGGCAATTGACAGATCCCTACTCTGATCTTTTATTTGTATAGGAATAAATTTAAACATGTGCTCTTTTGTTTAGGAATATTTTGTAGTGAAAGTCTTATATATTCACTAATCTCATAATTAGAATTAGACAGGTCAGGAATTTATACAAACAGTTGTTTAGTTAACTATGCTCATTTTAATCCCAATAGAAACATTCAAATATTTGTGGTAAAAAACATGACCAAAGTACCTAGTAGTCGTTTACCCGGTGGTGATCCCATTAAACTGATTATAGATTCGAATTGATTAGAAAACACAAATAGAAACATGTGTTTCCGTACAACAAAATCGGAAGTAAAGTGAACAGTTAATTGACAGAAATATGTGGTCAAATATGTTTTAACAAGGAAATAATTATTTCAGAGAAAGACGCAAAGATCAGTTTGACCCCGTATTGTGTAATTAGAAAGTTTATTCAATTCTAGGGCATATATCATAATTTGATAGTCCATGTGTAATAAAATTCAAATTTTCAATACAGATTATGAGATACAAAAAAAATATTAAAGAATAAGAAGCTTTAATTAAAAAACAAAAACAAAAAAAAAAAAAAAAAAAAAAAAAACCGCATACATATACAAATTACTTACAGTCGAGCATCGGGAAGTCATTAACATATCTTACGAAACTTTAATTTGAAACCGATATTTGCGCGCGCTGAAGTGATTAATGTTTATTTGAAAAATAAAAAAAAAAGAAATTTTATGGTTGTGTTCTAAAAATAATGGGCGGCATAAGAGGAATTTCTTATTCATTTTACAACACTTGAAAAATTACTACAGAAAATGTGTTGTTGTTTTGTTTTCAACAAAAGTGTGTGTGTTTTAAGTTTATTTATACTCGGCGCCGGAATAACCATATGTCCGAGATTATAGCATCTGGGACGTCTTTTTCAAGCAGATTCTTCCTGGAAGCCCATTCTTCGTTCTTTGGTGGTAAAGGAGACGACAATACCGTCAAGGCATCAACTTTCTGACTGACGACAACAAAAACGGCATCTATTAGCGCCAAACCTCCAGAGTAAGTCACGACAGGTCAACCAATCACCTCTGGTACTTATGATGACTTGACTATGACCTTCCGTGTGCCTTCTCCGCGACGTGCACGCCTCTGGAGGTATTTGGAGAAGTTTCAACAAAAACTTCCAAAACACGCCATTTATAACACCATTCATAGCACTGACGGCTTCGATGTTCTCATCTATTTGCGGGAAATGGTCAACAGGGAAAACCCTACGTAATAACCGCACACCCTGTTAACAACAGATTTTCCGCAACTTATATATTTCAAGCTAGTGAGGTTTAAAAATACACGTAGAATCTATCGATTAACTACCATAAGTTGGTTGAGTGTTGGCGGTAAAAAAAGAAGATATAACTT